CCTCAGGGAGCCCATCGATGCGGAGCAGTTGTCAGGAAAGATCGGGTATGTGGAGCGTTCAACCACGGTGCAGCCAATTGCACTGGTAAGCGTTGACACGCCCCAGAAGAGGAGGCGGCTGCCTCTTTTGGGTCAGATGAGCTAGAGCCGCAAGAGGGGCGACCTCTTATGGCAGATCTCATGGCAGGTCCCAACGCACCCCTCACCAAAGCATTCATCAGTTGCGGGTGGCAATGCATTACAGTGGATTGGTTGTTGGATGACAGCCATGACCTGTCAGATGAGCGCCGGCAACACTCCCTGAGCAAACAGCTTGAAGAGGTGATCTTCATAGCGGCAGCTATCGACTGTTCGACAAAGAGCAGGGCCAGGGAGATCCCCAGGAAGTTTGAAGACGGGCGGCCAGCCCCTGGTCCTCTTCGATCCGAGGTCTACCCTGATGGCCTGCCTCACCTCAACAGCCGGGATGCCCAAAGAGTCGACCTTGACAACAAAGCCTGCAACTATGTCTTGGGAGAAATTCAGAAGTTGCGGGATAGGGGGGGAGGCAGTGTGCGTGAAAACCCTGCCCGTTCCTTGCACTGGTGGACGTCCACAGAGGTGACTATGTGGGAATCGGGACAATGGTTCGACACAGCCTACGCGGCATGTACTTTGGGTGGGGCGCGTTGCAAGCATCAAGTGCTACGACACAATGTGGAGGAGATCCAACGCTGGCCCCCAGCCAATTGCCACCATGTGCACGACCCACAGGAATGGACCCCCTACACCTCCGACGGCCAGCGGTTTTACCCATCCAAAGAAGAGGCAGAGTACACAGCAGTCCTTGCCTTTGCCATTGCAGTGTCGGCTAGTTGGTGGGCAGTCCGCACAGGTCTAGCCGTCCTGCATGTCCCACGCATGCCCACGTTCATGTCAGTCGGACGCCGTGAACATTGGCTGGATATGGACCCGCGTGCAATGCGGGAGTGGGCAATGGCACCACTGGCGGTGACGCTGGGCCTCACAGAATCCTTGAGGGCTGAACGATCGGGGTTACCGGTCCGAAGGCTCGTCAAGGAGGTGATGATCGAGAACAACAAGCTACCACGCAAGACCATCTACGTCGGCCGAGGCAGCTTTCATCATCGCCTATCGACGACCAAGTGGAAATCGCCATGGACACCGGGCCACAACTGCGAAGCCGGTGAATGGCCGGCCAGGTACATTGTCCATATTCGAACATCACCTTTGTGGGACGCCTTGCATGAGCTTAGCAATATGGAGCTGGCGTGCGACTGCCCCATGGAGCACCTGTGCGAAGCGGACATGCTCATTGGCCTCTTCTTCGATGCCACCGCCCCTGGGGGTGACCCAATGCAGCGGGGCACCGATGGCCGATGGAGTAGGACTGTGGCATTGTTGCAAGGGATCCAGGCTATCCCCAGGGGGGTAGCCCTACCCATGATGAGCCAAGAAGCACTGGTATTGGCATTCCAAAAGCTTTTCCCCGAGCACTGGTTTAAAAACTACAAGTTTGCAATGATTGAAGACCTCATCAACAGCCCGCCCTTCTGCTCATATGCCACCTGGCTTGCAGAGCGAGGAGAAGCTTGGGACGGGCCCCTAGTCCCGCATCTGGCTGCCGGGTCAGTGAGGCAGCTTGCACGGATTGGGGACGGGTGCCAAGTGGGTGCGATGACACACCGTGCCGCTTTGCCCCCACTGCTGCCGTTCAACTTGGATCCTGAGGACCATTTCAACCAAGCAGTCCAACGAGCCCAGCACCCGTTGCCCTACGAAGACCTCCCAGTCGTCGACTTAGACCTGGAGTTCGTAGCAGATGCCTATGTGGCACATGGCCAGCAGTTGCGCCCGTGGCGACAGCAGGCAGTCGGGGCCATGCGAGAGCTGAAGAGACGCTGGGAGGGGGTGACCCTCCACTTGCGATCCTTCCAGGAGCCGGCCGTCCAGCAGGTAACACGGCACCGCGATGTGGGGCTCATCGCATTGCTGATGCTGCTGACATCCTGGGCAGACACCAGCTTTCCCTATGGGCTGATCCGTGGGCTGCCTGCAGTGGGCTACGCACCACCTTATGGGATATTCCCCCAACAGCCAGCTGAGGTGATCAGCATGGCAGATGTGTTGGAGGGATGGCAGGAACACAATCAGCACATCTTGGGCCAGCTGAGAGCAGGCAAGGATGATGAGTTCCTCCTGCAGCAGTCATTGGAGGACGCAGCGAATGGTCTCTGCACAGAGCCCTTGCGACGGACAGATTTCCTGCGGGCCATTGGCGACAAGGCCCATCGATTGATCCCGCGTTGCGTGATCACACAGAGCTCAGGCAAGCAGCGTGTGATCGACAATGGGGACACCGGAGGACAATCAGCCTTGTCGTCTGATGCTAACAAGCTCACATTGTGCAGTCCATTGCGTCCTGCCCAGCACATTCGCCTTGCAATGCATCGTTGGACAGAGGATGAGATGGCCGATTTCTTCGAGAACGATGCCTGGGAAACAGGACAAGAAGATCTGCCTTCAGCATACAGGTATTGCCCTATGGCATTGCAGGAAAGTCTGGGCTGCGTGGTGGTGTGGTACCATCACAAATGGCAAACCCCTGCATACCAAGTCTACGCTGGGCTACTCTTCGGACTGCCGCTGGCGGTTACATCATTCAACCGTTTTTCCAGACTATTGGAGGCACTAGCCAGGCGTTTTTGCCGATTTTTGACATCCCTGTACTTTGATGATGCGACCATCACAGACTTGCAATCCTCAAAAGGGTCAGGCCAATGGGCCATGAATCAATTGTGTTCTCTTATCGGCTCCCCCTTCGCAGAGGACAAGAAACAACCAATGCAGAGCACCGGTACCTTTTTGGGATTGACTCATGATCTCAGCTCCATCAACCAAACAGGGCACGTACAGTTTTGGGCTCGAGAACGGCTCCATGACAAAGTACGTGACATGTTGGCAACAGCCAGGGTGACTGGCCATTTCAGCCGAGGGGCAGCATCGAAGCTGTACGGCTTGGCCAATTTCCTGGAACAGGGCATCTACGGTCGAGTGGGATATGGCGGCCTCATGGCCATCAAAGCCAGGCAAGACGAGACAACCTCGACCATCACTCCCGAGATTGAAGCATGCTTCGAGGTGATCGAAGCGGTTATGCGCTTTCAGCCAAAGCGGGAATTTCCCGTTCTGCACCTGGATCATCTGCGATTTTTGGCAGCCTCCGACGCAGCTGTCGAAGCAGACAATCCTGGTTCAGGAGGTTTTCACCTGATCTTTTTCCAGCCTGACGGATCACAAATTCGTCACAGTTTTGTCGCGACCAACTGTGCAGAGCTCCGAACACTTTGGCAACCTGCAGAGACGCATATCGCCCAATTGGAACTATCTATGGTGCTCTACGCCCTTGTCGAAAGGCCTGATCTGTTTCGAAACCGACACGGCCTATGGTTTTTGGACAACGTAGCAGCCGTCATGACGCTAGTGAGAGGACGTTCTAGCAATGCCGACTTAGCGAAGCTAGGTCATTTGATCCATCTAGCTCTGTTTGCACTGCGAGCCCAAGGATATTGGGAGTACGTCCAGAGCAAGAGCAACTGGGCTGACGATATCAGCCGACTTGGCGTCAATGATCCATGGTGGCGATGCCATGGTTTTGAATTTTATTCGTCGTACCTCCCTACAATCTTGTTCCAGCTACCCTTTGCAGCTGTCATTCTCACCTTCGAATACCTTTAGTGCTTTGGGAATTGAATGCATTGGGTGATTCCTGCAGAGCAGGTTCCAGCCTGGGTTGCCAGGCAGCTGACCAGTGGCGAAACTGGTCTGGGGCTATGTACGTGTCACATCGTGACAACCCAAAGCAAACCTGAGGATTGCAGGTGAAATTGACTGAGCATAGGCATAGCTGTGGAAAAAGAAAGCTGCGGGAGCGCGAGACAGTACCTGTTTCATATGACACTTTGAGATGTACCCATGCATTGAGTTTGGCAGGCTTGGGTGTGCATGTATCATCTTTAAGTGTTTCAATGAATGCTACCATTTTGGCTCAAGTAAACTTGAACCAAAATAGCATTCATTGCTGTTTTCTTTCCCCCCCCTCCCAACCCTAAGAGCCGACCTCCCGTGGAGATGTCCGCCTAGGTTAGGGGAGCCTGCACGGCAGGCGAGTACATAGCCTCTATCGGGGATCCTCTCTTGGGGCGACCAAGAGAGACTTTCCCTCCCTTAGGTTAAGGGATGGGTGATTCCTGCAGAGCAGGTTCCAGCCTGGGTTGCCAGGCAGCTGACCAGTGGCGAAACTGGTCTGGGGCTATGTACGTGTCACATCGTGACAACCCAAAGCAAACCTGAGGATTGCAGGTGAAATTGACTGAGCATAGGCATAGCTGTGGAAAAAGAAAGCTGCGGGAGCGCGAGACAGTATCTGTTTCATATGACACTTTGAGACGCACTAATAGCATGAACAACGTTTCAAACCAGCCGGTAAATTGCAAAGCAAACTGCACGAGCAGACAACATAGGAAGAATTAAAGAGACAAACGATAAATACAAAAAAATGACATGAAGTCTAATACAGTACTCGTAGAATTAAATCCCCTCAGATTGGATGAGAAAAAACAACGCATCTTGGTATTGTATGACATGGAATGAATTCAAGAGATCGATGAAGAGATGCAAACTAGCATCACATTGGGTTGCCCCATTTTGCGTGGCAGTGTCATTGCCCCGCGCTATTCAGCGTTCCCTGCTGTATGTTCTGGAATATTAAGGACATTACGTTGCCTTCCTACACCTGCCTTGCAGAACCATTCAGTACAAATCAGAATCACAATCACCATGCCAAATTGAACATGATAATGGAATCAACGTTGACATGGAATCTATGATAGATTTACCACCTTGGAATCTGGTGAGACACAAATGCATGGATAGTTGCGGCATGTTGCGGCAGTTGGTAGGCAATGGATGCCCAAGTCTTGGGAACATTGGGAACTTCTCAGGAGAACGTCCTGGTGGGTGGTTTTTTCGTGATCTCTGGCTATGTCACTGGGTGTGAAGAGATGTTGGTCCACCTTCAGAACTTCAGGGGTGTTCCACCGCAGTTTTCTGGGGGTTGAAGTTTAGAATCAAAAGGATCAACACACCTCGGAACGCAGAGCAGGTGAAGCTTGTTTGGTTTTACATAAATATATCTATATTCGAGTTGAGTTATTTGCGTTGCTTCGATTTTGTGATTATTGGTAGTTGCATCTTTAGTTTTTCAACGGAATACGTAAATACATAAACCAAAGATCTTCGAGGCCAATCAAGACCAGATGGCATTAACATTGTCGAATCAGAGGGCAGAATCATGGAACTGGAACCCGTGCATTTGTTGCTGCAGCGTATCAGGGCCTGAATTACGATAATACGATATGATACGTGTATATATATGGATGGATGGGTTCGGTGCGTTTTCCGGGCCCCTTAGGAAGTTTGTTATGATATGTTGCTCTTGGTTGGAAAACGCATCGAGCCCATGTAATTCCTCATATAGTGGTTTAATTCCTAATCAGTTAGTATAAACAAAACCACTGCCAACTTAATGTGCAAAAAAAAACAAATAAAGGGAACCAGCAGCCTTCAGTGACTAAGGTGTCTGCTTACACTACCACAAAACTTGGCGCGCTGGGAGTAGAAGAGAAGCCACCAGGCTGCAGAGGAAACACGTGTGATCTCAGCTGGACCTGATACGGATGGAGCCTGGCAATGCCTGGCGTATTGTAGCGAAAAAGGTCGACGTGTGATCTGTGTGACAGGCCAAACATGTTCCTTCCCCTTTTAGATCTTCCAAACACCTTGGCCCTCCGTACGATTGAATCCTGCCTCTGTCATCACTTTCATCAGGAAAGTGGCAAATCCGGAGCTCTTTTTCTGGCAGAGAGTCATGGCCTACTATCCTCTTCATTTCCTTTCCTCAGCAATTTTTGCGCCGATGTTCATTTGGGTGGAGAGGAACTTCAACGCAACCTGGAACATGATTGCAGCTTGACGCAACAAAACAAGTGCAGTGGGAAGTTTTGTAGCTTTCTAGTTTGATCGAAATGTCTCGCACGAGAGCTTCAAAGTCTGGAACCATTGTATTCCATAGATAGTCTCCTCTGTTGGTGTTCCAGGCCGTAGTGGTTTGTCTTTAGTTGCCCAAGAGTTACAGAAGTTTAGCAAGTCCTGATGGTAGAAAGCCAAAGGATGCTGGGTGTCTTGAGGCCTTCCGCGCCTTCTTGAACTTCAGCATGTTGCAGGCCTGGTTCCCCAAGGAAGCAGAGATCTGGAATCAGCCCACCTGGTTCCTGTCGGCCCTGACCTTTTCGAATCTCACTATGCCCACTTTGGTCTTGCCAAACGTGGCCAACCTCTCCAAGAATCTTAGCTAAATTTGGGCCCGTACGTGTTCCGATTTCTTGTCATTTCTTGTCCCGGGTCTTGGAATCAATGAGCTGGGGAGTTGAGTGTGGAGTGTGCAGAGAACAGGCCTTTAGTTTCATTTAACAGGTTTCTTAGTTCAACAGTTCAACTGCATCAAAGTGCATCAGCTGCCATGGCAGGAAGGGTTTGCAGAAGCTCTTGGCTGCCTTGTGGGGAGTGTCGCTGCTGCAGAAGGTCTCCTACTCTGAGACAGCACGCTTCCACAGCAGCAAGGAACACCCAGTGGACGGGAAGGTCATGATGCCCTTGATCTGGAACTTGACTCGTTTCCACCCAATCTGGGCACTCTTTGAGATGACCACTGGCATCATTGCGGCTCGTCATGTGATGCTTGACACTGAGGAGGACAAGAGGAACAAACCCATGAATCCAATTTGGTTGTTCTTGGCTGCCTATTCCTCATTGGCACTTCGTCTCACGAAGTATGACTTCAACGATGCCATCATCCGTGGAGTGCTCTTTGTGCCACTTTTCACGGAGTTCTTGACGGCCATGCACCGAGATGCGTTGACTGCCCAACCTTCCGCCATCACCAGATTCTTCGGATGCAAGATCATGGCCACTCTTGGTTCCTTAGCTTTCCCAATGTTCATCGTGCACGGACCAATCGGACAAATCTTCTACAAGAAGGCTATTGCCAAGAAGCTGTGGGGAAAGCCAATGCCACATGCCTTCTTCCCCTTCTATTTGGCGATTTGCTTGGGTCTCAGCCACCTGGTGAACGAACACTTCGTGAAGAACAAGAAGGTGGGTGCCTTTGCCGGCAAGATCGCCCAGAAGCTGGCAGGTTGGACTGAGGGTATGCTCAGGGATCGTTGAGCTGTCAACAGCAGCAGTTTGAAGAATTCTTTTCTCGGCGTTGCATTGAGGAACGGCCAATCCACCCGGGGTTGTGCCGAGGCTCCTGCAATTCCAGTGTTGGCCCATCGCCAACAGTTCCAACAGTGACCACCAACCAAGGTTGGAGGTCCTAGGTCCTAGAGATCTGATCATTTCTGGCGGCGACCAACGCGAACCGCTAAGAAAAAGCCGATTGCTTGACGATTGATTATCTTCGTATCAGATCATGAATCATATCAGTATGAAGCTCAATCGCCTTGCAACACTCTTGCAACACCCTGCCGGTAAAGCAGAATGTCGATAAACATGCAACCGATGCAACCTGTCATGAAACGCCCTATGCCTGGGCCTAAACAGTCTAAACTTCCGACGCTGAGGCGAAAAGCCCACGAGTCTCACCGCGACTTGGCGCAAGGGGAGGATGAAGTCACCGTGGCTCCTGAGGCTTTTCTGTCGTGATGTTGGCTGAAAATGGTTGAAGTATGTTGAAGTGACTTGGATGATCTTGGGTGCTGAAAAGGATGAACAGGAATTCTCGGGAAGACCAAATTGAGACTCTGGAGGCCGAAACCCATGTTCTCTGCGAATGCAGAATCAAACCATATCAAACCTTTAGATTCTTTAGCTTTAATCAAACCTTTGGATTTGTTTGCGCCATGGCTGCGTCAAGATGCTCGTACCCTGGTGAACGCTTGAGATGTCTGCTGTTTGAATGGAGGTTTATCTATCTGAAAGTTGGTAGACATAGAATTCAAAGTAGGCCAGTGCCATGGGTCCATAGGCATTGGAATTGATCCATCCCCTCGGCCTTAGCCGCCGATATGCATTGCCAAGGTGCAAGGGCTTCGATCTCAGTGATGCCAAGATATGCCAAGTGAAAATCCTCAACTGGTCAAGATGGAAGACATGGGAAAAACATGGAAAAACAAGATCACAGAGTCATCCTTTCCGTGGGGTGTTTCAGACGGAGACCTCTGGCACCCTGTTATCTGCAGAGATACGCATGATACGGTAGCATGATAGAGAGCATTATAGACTATTATAGAGAAGATATGAAGCCGTGAGGCTCCAAAATCCACATAAACAGGTATCCAACAGGTATCCAACAGGTATCCAACGGGTATCCAACAGGTATCCAACGGGTATCCAACGGCATATTGAATATGCTCCAACTATTGGGCGAGCCTACGCCAGAGAAGATCGCTTCCTCAGAACCGACCTGGCATCCCCACTGGCTCACGGCGCTCAGATAAAGCAAGTGAAGCCTGCGACTGACATGTCGGCACCCTCCACCATGAACCTTGGCTGTTCATGGCGCGAGAATAGGATTGGTGAGCTGGGAGACAGGTCCGACTTATCTGGGGAAACAGTTGAAATCAGAAGCCGACTCATTGCTGCTATAAATTATGAATATTTTTTCTTGTTGCAGGAATGTAGACAAGTGAAGAGGGGAAACAGAATGAAACAGATCAAACCAGGTCTTTTTTCGACCGCACAGACGGCTGAGGAAGATGGATCATTTCCGCAGCAACCTGAAGAAGGCTGGATGCGGCTGGTGCTGGTGGTTTCATTGATGTGAACCCAATTGAGAAGGTAATTCATGCAGCAAGGGCCCACTTGGAAAGTGGATGAGGCACTTGGCATGGTGACTTTTCGATGCTGCATGATACTTTCTGTGCTTTGCACAGGATGGATCTTGATCTTGATCAATGCTAAGTGATGCAGAGAGTGAAGTTTGAACATGACAGGCATTTCCATTCGCGAGCTTAGTATAAATGAAGCTTCTCACAAATGTTGGGTCACAGGAATTAGGGGAACAAGCCTGGGAAACTTGTGTCAATAACTCAGGCCTTAAAAAGGCCATGCAAATGTCCTTTGCTCCTTTTATCTTGAGATCTGCCAGGAGCGCCTCTTAGAAGACCGCTACATGGAGATCGATAGGTGGATCGAGGGCCACTCCCATCTCAGAATCGCGATGCCAGATCCGTGGATATGAAAGCTGAGTCATGGAGTTGGTGCTGGGTTGGTGACAAGCTGTTTCTTAGATGTGTATCATACTATATCATACTCTTATATACTTATATAATCTTATATGGTCTTTACAGACCCCCTGGGAAGTTGATGTGAACATGCCGTCATGATTTGACTGGCACTGTTGTGCACAGGCAGAACCGGGTTCTCCTCAAGAGGATGTCTGAGGCCATGAGAAAGCCCGGAAGCCCCAGGCATTTGGTCATGGGGTTCTGGGCCGAGATGGGCCAAGCAGCTGGGGCCCAAACAAGGCAGCTTGGCTAAGGCCAAACCCATATGTTGTGGAGAAGAAGGAGGCAGCTCCACCTTCCTTGCCTGGAACCCAGGGGAAATATAGGCTACATAGGCTATATATTGGAAATCGATGGAAATCGCTTGGATTCTGTTGGTCTCTTGACTGACGAATCAGCACCTCTATTTCGTAGCCGTTTTCGTTGGCACACCTGAAATCACATATTATTTTTATATATATATATTATAGTCTAATAATTATGTTTAATCAGACTTGTCGATTTGTAGATCTGATATTTTTGGGGAGCCAAGTTCGGTTTTTTCTCCCTTGCTACTTGCAGATGCTTCCTTATTACTTTTGGTGGTGCAACCTAGATCCCAGGAACCGATCTGGAAGGAAGATGGAGATGGTCAGGCAGGGCGTGATGTATTTTGTGTGGAAGGCGATTGCACTATCAGTTTCAGGCAGACAACCGTCAGCTTCTGTCAGCTTTGAATTCAAGAATCCTGCAAGAATTTTGAGGCACCTGCAATTTTGGGACACGCCCAAATCAGGCCCAAAACATCCCAAATGTTCTTTTCCGCTGTTTCAACACCCCCCATGCGAATTTTGGAGATGTTGAGCCCTGACAGCTACCGATCGGTAGAGGATCACCAAAGACAATGCCCGGCTGTTGCGGTCCATCCAGAAAGCCTGGGGCACAGGGGAGCGAGTTTTGACCGCGCGGGTTCTAAAGCATCTGGAACATCCTCGTTGGATCCGATAATGAAGCTGGGGACATGGCTCAAGACTTGGTGTATAGTACAAATTCATCCAAAAGCAACGTCAGTTGCTGCTTTGCCCTAATGCTTACTTATCATATCTTATTATCATCAATCTTCTACACTTCGTTGAACTTTTCTTTTGCTTGCGAAGGCGTCAGGCCAGATGGGAATCTCTTCAAAGGGACGCTGACCCTAGTGAAGCATTCTGAGATATATTGAAGCCAAGAAAGGTCTACAGCATGCTATGGGCTCTAGCCTGGGTATGTTTGTCGATCTTGGACGTTCGGTTCTTCCCCCTCTCCATGGGATATTGGAAAACAGAGGCCTCAAGGCATCCCAGGACATCTCAGGCTGTACATGTTTGAATGTTCCAATGCCCAGGGGTCACCGATTTTGGTAATTCTTCTAGTAGCATCCCTGATATTTTGGGATGACACTTTTCACGGCATCACCTGATGCTTGCACGCTTGGCTAGCTCAAGATAGCTCATAGAGCTAGTGGAGTTTTAGGAGCGAAGCAGCTTCAATACAGCTGTCAACCAGCCGGCCATCCGAAAGCCATGAGGACGTTCATATTTTCTGACAACTGCAACTTCACAACCTCAGCCACCTTGGGAATTTCCTCCTATATTGGGAATATCATAAAGATTCAAAACGTGCATCGGCACCAGAATCATTGACAAAGTACCACTCTTCAAAGAGCGACAGTTGTTCAAGTTCAAGCGACAATCCATGTCTTCTCCCTCGCAGTTCAGCTGCTCAGCCATGGATCCCTCTTCGCGTGGATTGCTGCGGGGGTGGGGGCCACAGGACGTTTTGTTCAGGTCACCTTGTCTCCGGGGTGATGGGAGCAGACAACATCAGCCAGCTCAGAAGGTTCTTTGCCAGATGCCCTACCCATTTGGATATGTCCAAAATTTTGGGGCCCCAACCATCCCAAAGCTATTGGTTGTTCCCTCCTGAAATGGAGCATACTGTTTTGTCCTTTTTTGATTTAAGATGCACCTCCTGCTGCAAGTATCTTCAATATTCTTCAAGAAAGTTCCAGACTTTTGGACACCCAATTCCTCCGTTCTTTGGAATTCTCAATTCTCATTGTAGTACCCTTTGGTAATCAAACATGGCCATCCATTCAGACATATCACAACCATGTTTGATCACTGGTGGGCAAACCTCCAGTTTACCGGTGCCCAGGCCAGAGGATGAGCCGAGCTTGGAGTCAGAGGGATTGCCAGTGCATCCTGTCGCAATTTGGGCAGCTGAAAGTCCCAGAAATTGGAGAAGGGGAAGTCTCCGCCCTTTTTTTTTAATCTTTTTTATGGTAAAACAACCTGAGGGTTCATATGGAGCTACAGCCAAAATTTACCGTAAAGTAGTATTCGAGACGTCTTTATTTTTTGGAAATTAAGCTGGGGCTTGGAAAACGATAATACACTCTTCAAAAAGCGATAACATTTGCTATATTCCCAAAACCTGAAAAACGATAAGACACTCTTCAAAAATTGATGACTTGGAGCCTCTATATACTAAATATTGACCGTGGCCCAAAACATGTTCAACACACCCAGTGATGAAGGGGTTTGAAATGGACATCATGGTGGATCCACTGCACTGCGGCAAACCCCCAAATGGAAATAGTGCAGCCACATTAGACCCATATGCAAACGTCACAGCATCGTGATATCATATACCTGACATTGCAGCACACTATGACAACTGACTATAATATACTATATATAGTTATCTATAATTACACACACACACATATATATATAATATAGATCCATATGCAGATTCCCCTGCATGGGTTTGGGGTCAGTCTGTCTGGCAGCAGCACGTTGGTAAGAGAAAGCTTACGTTGCTGGCCGTCCAATGGTGCAGTTGTGGCCAAGGAGACATCGATGGTTTCTGGTGATTTCTGGAGTCATGGGAATCTGCATGGCCTGTTTAATCCTATCACCCAGGCCAGGGGAGAATCATGTCATGAGTGCTGGAAGTGAACTATGATGAACTGTTAAAAAGTCAACCAGGGGCAGAGTCAAGGTAATAACTTTGAAATTGAAGTGGGTGCATGAGAGGTGCTGATATTTGGACTACAGTTTAACTTTTTGGCATGTTTTCACGTGCTGATTTTGCTTCATAATGCATCAAGGCGACATTTGCTGCACCCCATTCGGTCGCCATATTTTCTTGGGAACCTAGACCGGTGGCGGCGAAAGCAGCCTTCGTCAGGCTGATCCACAGAACCTTCGTCCACGATGCTGGGAGCTCAGTCATATCCTTTTGAAACCAGACGCCAAGAAAGGGATGAACATGGACAGGTCATGATGAGCCACCTGGCGAAACTGCGGCAATCTGCCTCATCATTTCTGGCTCAAATACCGAAAAGCAGATGGGAGTTTGATAATTGTCCGGCGGTTCTTGGGATGCCCGGTGATTACCTGGAGCTTTTCTGGACACTGCTGGGGGTCAAGAACCTGGAGCAGTTGAAAAGAAGCATCCCAGACGACTTTGATTGGAGCGTCCTGCATCCCATAAACAAGAACACGATCCTTATTCACGCTTTGGATTTACAATATCAGGGAGAAGACAACCTGAACCTCATTGAGTGGCTTGTTAGGGCAGGGGCCGACTTTTCGCAAAAGTGTGGCAGCCCTGGTTTCACGAGGCGATTGTGGAAATCAAACGATGAAAGCACAAAGATCTCCATCGATTCCCAGAAACATTCATTCTTGTCCTACATCTCCGCTTGGAGGGAGCAGTTCGAGCGCAACGACGTATGGAAAAAAGACTTGCTCTTCCTTGACCAAGTGGTGGACAGAGTTGCAAAGGCTTCCAGCCAGCGGCACTCTACGCGGTGTAGAGTGATTGTGGATGAAGGTATCCTGGAGAATTGGGAGGAGTTTTTACATGCCACAGAGTCTCACGACCTGACCATTGAAGCTGCAGATGGGCACGTGACTGCTCACGCTCAGATGCTCAAACAGGCATCTCCCGTGTTCAGGCCATGTTGGGATCGCCCATGAAAGAACGTCAGTCCCAGCAAATCCAGCTGAGAGACACCAGCAGCAGTGCAGTCAGATTAGTATTGGAAACGCCCTACACATGTTCCTCACAAAGTGATCCGGATTACAAGACTGCACTGTCAGCCTTGGACCTGGCTCATCGATGGCAGATGGAGGTGGTGGTAGCAATCCTTTCAGATCTGGTCGCAGAGCTGATCACAGCAGAAAGCTTCGCTGCGATTGCAGAACATGCAGCCTTGAAGGGCTTGGACACCCTCAAGAAGGCTTGCCAAAGCTTCGGATCTCAAAATGCTGCCATTCAGGCGCAGATCAAGAAAGGTCAATTTCCCAAGGCTGTCCTGGACCTGTTCAGTGGCAGTAAGAAGACATTGACATCTCAGCCAGCCAAGAAGCGCAAGCGCCTGTGAGGCGCTACGCCAGCTGGGAACCCGCAAAGCTCTACGGGAAAGGAGCTCAAAAAGGCGGCCCGCAGCATCAGTGTAGGGATACATGTAAGTGGGCCCTTCCGGTTTGCAAGAACTAGGCAGCACCAGACGGCATGCCCCATCCTGAAACAAAATTTGATCGACTACTGTATGATCTTGAAAAAATCCTGCAAGCCATATCTTCAAGAAACCAAACGCCAACAAAGGGATAAACATAGATAAGTCATGGCAGCAGGGGCCGGTTTTTTCCTGTATGTGTATTGCGCTGTCTGTACTTGCTGTGGTGGAGAGGTGCTGCTGCATCATTTCTGGCTCAAAGGCTGCAAGGCAGATGGGATCTTTGATTAGACAAGTGCAGGACGCTTCTTCGGATGTCTGGGAATTACTTGGAGCTTTTCTGGGAACTACTGGAGGTCAAGAACTTGGAGCAGCTGAGAAGCAGCGTCCCAGACGACTTTGATTGGACCGTCCTGCATCCCACAAGAAAAACCACAGTCCTTCTTGAAGCTTTGAAACCCTTCCCCGATGATCCAATGAAGGAAGCACACTGCCTGAACCTCATTGAGTGGCTTGTGAAAGCTGGAGCCAATTATTCGCAGAAGAGTGGTGCCTCAAATATTTCGTATTTAATGTGGAAAACAGACGACCCAAGCACAAAGCTTTCAGTCCCCTACAAGGGCCATTCAGCTCTTTCCTTTGTCGCAGCTTGGAGGCAGGAGTTCAAAGGGAAAGACCACGAATGTGAGCAGCGCTTCCTTGTGAAAGTCGTCGACGCGATTTCAAGAGCTTCCAGCCAGCGGCAGTCTACGCGGCGTAGAGTGATTGTGGATGAAGGTATCCTGGAGAATTGGGAGGAGTTTTTACATGCCACAGAGTCTCACGACCTGACCATTGAAGCTGCCGATGGCTGCGTGACAGCTCACGGTCAGATGCTCAAACAAGCGTCTCCAGTGGTCCAGGCCATGCTGGGATCGCCCATGAAAGAACGTCAGGCTCAGCAAATCCAGCTGAGAGACACCAGCAGCAGTGCAGTCAGATTGGTATTGGAAACGCTCTACACATGTTCCTCACAAAGTGATCCGGATTACAAGACTGCACTGTCAGCCTTGGACCTGGCTCATCGATGGCAGATGGAGGTGGTGGTAGCAATCCTTTCAGATCTGGTCGCAGAGCTGATCACAGAAGAAAGCTTCGCTGCGATTGCAGAACATGCAGCCTTGAAGGGCTTGGACACCCTCAAGAAGGCTTGCCAAAGCTTCGGATCTCAAAATGCTGCCATTCAGGCACAGATCAAGAAAGATCAATTTCCGAAGGCTGTCCTGGACCTGTTCAGTGGCAGTAAGAAGACATTGATATCTCAGCCAGCCAAGAAGCGCAAGCGCCTGTGAGGCGCTACGCCAGCTGGGAACCCGCAAAGCTCTAGGGGAAAGGAGCTCAAAAAGGCGGCCCGCAGCATCAGTGTAGGGATACATGTGAGTGGGCCCTTCCGGTTTGCAAGAACTAGGCAGCACCAGACGGCATGCCCCATCCTGAAACAAAATTTGATCGACCACTGTATGATCTTGAAAAAATCCTGCGAGCCATATCTTCAAGAAACCAAATGCCAACAAAGGGATAAACATAGATAAGTCATGGCAGCAGGGGCCGGTTTTTTCCTGTATATGTATTGCGCTGTCTGTACTTGCTGTGGTGGAGAGGTGCTGCTGCATCATTTCTGGCTCAAAGGCTGCAAGGCAGATGGGAGTCTTTGATTAGACAAGTGCAGGACGCTTCTTCGGATGTCTGGGAATTACTTGGAGCTTTTCTGGGAACTACTGGAGGTCAAGAACTTGGAGCAGCTGAGAAGCAGCGTCCCAGACGACTTTGATTGGACCGTCCTGCATCCCACATTAAAAACCACAGTCCTTCTTGAAGCTTTGATTCCTTTCCCCGATGATCCAATGAAGGAAGCACACTGCCTGAACCTCATTGAGTGGCTTGTGAAAGCTGGAGCCAATTATTCGCAGAAGAGTGGTGCCTCAACTCTTGCGTATTCAATGTGGAAAACAGACGACCCAAGCACAGAGCTTTCAGTCCGCTACAAGGGCCATTCAGCTCTTTCCTTTGTCGCAGCTTGGAGGGAGGAGTTCAAAGGGAAAGACAACCTGTGGGAATGTGAGGAGCGCTTCCTTGTGAAAGTCGTCGACGCGATTTCAAGAGCTTCCAGCCAGCGGCAGTCTACGCGGCGTAGAGTGATTGTGGATGAAGGTATCCTGGAGAACTGGGAGGAGTTTTTACATGCCACAGAGTCTCACGACCTGACCATTGAAGCTGCCGATGGCTGCGTGACAGCTCACGGTCAGATGCTCAAACAAGCGTCTCCAGTGGTCCAGGCCATGCTGGGATCGCCCATGAAAGAACGTCAGGCTCAGCAAATCCAGCTGAGAGACACCAGCAGCAGTGCAGTCAGATTAGTATTGGAAACGCTCTACACATGTTCCTCACAAAGTGATCCGGATTACAAGACTGCACTGTCAGCCTTGGACCTGGCTCATCGATGGCAGATGGAGGTGGTGGTAGCAATCCTTTCAGATCTGGTCGCAGAGCTGATCACAGCAGAAAGCTTCGCTGCGATTGCAGAACATGCAGCCTTGAAGGGCTTGGACACCCTCAAGAAGGCTTGCCAAAGCTTCGGATCTCAAAATGCTGCCATTCAGGCACAGATCAAGAAAGATCAATTTCCGAAGGCTGTCCTGGACCTGTTCAGTGGCAGTAAGAAGACATTGACATCTCAGCCAGCCAAGAAGCGCAAGCGTCTGTGAGGCGCTACGCCAGCTGGGAACCCGCAAAGCTCTAGGGGAAAGGAGCTCAAAAAGGCGGCCCGCAGCATCAGTGTAGGGATACATGTAAGTGGGCCCTTCCGGTTTGCAAGAACTAGGCAGCACCAGACGGCTTTGCCCCATCCTGAAACAAAATTTGATCGACTATTTGCATGTGAAAAACCGATGCAAGTTGTGCACGCTGGTGACATTCGCTGTGAGCTGTTTGTCATGTCCCTGATAGTCAGACCTGAACCTGAGGAAGAGGCCATCGCCATGGCACATTCCGATCAGCTGAAGGGGATGATGCTCTTCCAATTTAATCCGCATCTTGGACGGTGCAATGTCAACATGTTTCAACTATTCTACGGGAAAATGGCTTCAAGCCATCTACGGGAAAATGGCTTCAAGCCAGCAACAACAACATGCATCGGAAAAAACATCATTTTTTTCTTATCGCGCAGTTGTGGGTGGAAGCATGTTCTAGGCAACATGGCCTTGCATGCTCTTTCTAGCATGTTTGCCATTGCCAACCTCCATTCTGCTGGATGATTATCTTTTCGTGCCAGCTGTTCATCGCCATCCACTTGCTGCTGCGTGCCATCGAGATTTCAGCTTAGGCATTGGGAATGCTTCAAGCCGCAAAATGCAGAGGGGCACCGCAGCTGCACGACAAACAAATCCGGCGTAATCCCGCATGGGTGCTTTCCCAGATTTTGACACTCAAACCCCGGAAAACGCGGACAGTAGAATGAACAATCTTCGCCTTTGTGCATGTTTGTAGATGTTGCTATCTGTTGGCAGAAGCATGTCTGCCCCAGCTGTGTGGATGTCTTCCATGCTGTGTGGATGTACCATCATGCACCACATGATGGCTCGGTAGGGATGACATTTAAGCATCCTTCCACTGACCCTTGGTCCTTCTCTCAGTATTGAACCATCACAAGTTTGGATCAATTTGGATGACCATGATAGTGTCAACCCCTGGGCTGTTATAATTGGGGTACCAATTTAGTAGCAGACAATCATCACCATTTGGGGGCATCCCCCCTTGAACAGTAGGACAGTCCAGTGATGTGACTCCCAGCTGAGGTGTGGCAGACAAGCCATGGCTCTGGTCACCGAGCTGTTGCAGAGACACAACGTGGACTTGGCAAATGTCGTGGAGCTGCCGGAATCCTACAAGTGCGCTCGGGATGGGACCGGAATGGGCACGGCAGGGGTGAAGGCCCCAGTGAACCCATACATTGAAGTTATTTACTGTAGAGAGCAGGGTGCCCTGAGCCCGTGTAGTTTCCATGTGAAGGTACTTGAAATTCACATTTGGTAATTTTTTGGGCCCAAGACTTCAAGACGTTGACCCATGCCAACATGGAGCAAATGGGGTTTGATGCGCAATTTCCCCACCCCTCTTTCCTTTAATTTGACTGAACCACAATACTGTAATCATTTCACAGTTATATGATGGTCGGGGTAGTTCACTTCAGTCACCCATTTAGGATTAGAATCTGCAGTCGAGAATCTGCAGTCATTCCAGATAAACGTAATATGTAATATGTGTAGCAATTTCTCTGATTGAAATCATCTGACATCATCTGACTAAAAACGCGGCACTTGACCCACTTGACCTTCTTGAACCCTCCATCTCATGAATTTCCATCACACATCATGACACATCCAGGCCTCCAAAGGGCTGGTCGATGAATTGTCGCCCTGGTGGCGGTGGTGATACGACTTGTGCCTTGGACTAGTGCATGAGAGAGAGGCCACCTACCGACCATTCACCTAACTATGCGCTTGCACTTACCCAGCTTCGCTTGGTGTCCCAGGTATCATTTGGAGGAGCAACAAATGGGAAGTGATTGGCCCCTCCACCGAGTGCTGGTCAGGAGCCTCAGATCCTTCCGGCGTTGCCAATCATCCAGACATATCCAGACAGATCTGCAGCTGTGAGCCCCAGCAAATGCAAAATGCCGAGGTTTGGAAGGGGCCGCTCTTGCAATGTAATGATGCTTGGATATGCTTGGGCTGGTTCAGTGCTTGCAAACCTGCCAGTGGAAGAAAGCTCCTACTGAAGGTCCAGATGTCAGACGTGACAGTTGAATTTTACTGCATATTGTGCTACTAAGATTGGTGGATGCATCATGCCATTGTTGATGCACACATTGCACGCCCTCAGCAGAAAACAGAGGGGCTACCCATTGCCTGCTAGACCAGTCGCCCCTTGAAGCCTAGGACGTTTGAGCACGTTGCTACCAAGTTCAAAGTGAGTCTGGCGGGCGCACATTTCCCACATGGTGCTGGAACTAGCCGGGACCTCAACCACGAAGTCGCGGTGGTGGGGCTGATAAGAGACATGAAGAAAATAGGGTGAAAAGCCAGAGCTGTACATGAAGCTTGTCTCAGTGTCAAACGATGTCAAATTCGTTAATCCGCAACATCTCAGTTGCCATTCTGCTTAGCCTTGAAACTCAAGTGTGTCCTTGGTTGCAAGCGGTGCTCCCAGCCATCAGATCCAATGCTTGGTACATTCCCTGAGGCTGGTACAGCGAATTCCTGGGAATTCTCGGTATGAACCTGCACAAATCCAAGAACGTCACTGAGAAGGCACAGCCATCATCCTTGAGTCAACTGAACAGCTCAAAATGTCAACAGTTGGGAGATGAACCTGGCACCAGGTCATCATCCTGGCAGATTCCAATGCTGGGCTCCACCAGAAGTCAGCCTCTTGACTTGCATCGGAAACAGAAAATCCAGGGTTTGGGGTTTGGGGCCCTCCAAAATCATCCAAATTATATGTTTGTGGTGTGGTCTGGTTAAAAATGCGCATTGCAAGGTAGCTTGAAGGTTCCTCTTCTGGAAGCTGGATGTTGGAGGGTGAATTCGGAGACAAACTGTGACAGATCCACTTTTGGTGACTGTGCATCCAGCAGTCAGTGGCTGACAACTAGAAGTGAAGTGCAGCCAACTGCTCTGCCACCAGATGACAGAGCAATGCCAGTTGAGTTGGATGGGCATGATGAGGAAACTAGTGAACAGCTTTGAAAACAGAAGAGCAGATGTTCACCTCGGTGATTCAATGCACATTGGTTCCTTGTGCAGTTCGTTTGCTTGATGGTCTTAAGCAGATCCACCCTTCGACTCACCGCTCTGTCAGGATTTCAGCATCCTCACCGAGACTGGTGTGTTGCTTCCGCATGTCAAGGCCCCACAGATGTGGTACAGCTACAGGACCAGGGCCAGAGATGGCAGAGGCTGTGGTTGTGGCTCATTATTTATCTCGATTTTTCGCTCATGTTTTGTCAGCTCTCTCTTTGTCTCTTAGGATATGTATGAACACTGAACACCACTGGTCATCTATGCACTAACAAGAAGACATATTAATCTCATAACATGCAGTGTCGTTCTACACCGATACCTCCCAGCTAGCTCAGCTGGAAAAAAAAGATGAAACGATGTCCATTTCTCCAGGACCTGTTGCAACAACATTGGCTACCACGGCTTTTTCGACCGTATCATTGCAAACTTCGGATCCAAATTGGCACCGTGGCCTCATCGTTTGTGCAGATGAGACCAAAAACTGCCGAACTATTGCTGCTAGCTGGCTGTTAATCCTATTTTCCATCTATTTTCTGGCAGCCAACCACCTGAGCCATGGTGCCAAGTGCAACTTGCTGAGGAGCTGGTGAAAGATGAAGTCTATGAGAAACAGAGCAATGGCTACAAATCTACTCCGCACCTGGGTTGATGATGTGGTTGATGACCTGAATGGGGTGGCTGACCCCCATTGGATCTTGAATGACCTAGCATAAAACTTCCCCAAGTTTACTTTTAGAAAGCGGCTCATTTTTCTGTTTCCATCAATTATATATATATATTTATAATTTTATGCTGCATTGCGGAATTGGATGGGTAGTAGGGTACAGGGGGTTGGTACAGCAGACTGGCATCCAGCGCATGTCCATAAGATCCCCACAGCCCATGGTGTTCATGAAGCCAGAGCCCAGGGCCTTTGCACGAGTGAACTTGCCAAAGAGCGGAACTTGGGGCGAATACCATCAACCCATCTTGGGCTACCTAAGTCTGTGAAGCCTAGGGTGTGTGACGTTGTAGGTTGGGTCGGATATAGCTTTGCCAGTTGATGTAGCTATGAGCTGAGGGTTTTATCTGGCCTCACGGCAGGATGCGCCCCTTTAAATTCTAACGAAGTGATCTGTCTTGGGAGGAACTGAGGAACATTGAGGAACTGTCAGGTTTGTGGACCTCCATTTTTTGGACACACCAATGTAAACGAATGGGGGCAAGTTGAAGCAACATCCGGCCCGCTGGGACAGTAGTGCTCCCAAGTCAAGTGGATGGCCGCAGCACATACTCCACGTGGGATCTGATTTTTTTCTGAAGCCACCAATGTGTGGCGGTCACCATCCGCACTGACCCGTTAGGGCGTTTGCCAGCTTCTGGTGGCCGAAAAGCATATAGGTTTATTGGAGCGATTTTTGTTTCTTGACCTTAGCGACCAGCATGATGTAGCATGATACATAGATTGATGTAGCATGATAGTTTCTCAAAGCCCTGGACATGGGCCTCGGGCAGGCCTGAGGGCCGCGAAAAATCTCATGGTTTTTGGCGGGCATTCACACCCTCTTGCAGATGGCTGAAATCGGGCTAGATCGACATGGGAAGTTAATAGTAGAAAAAAAAACAGTGTAAAATGGATCGCGGCACCCATGGATTTTCATACTTCACTGCAATGGTTGAACCCATAGGTGCCACCAAAGTTGAATTGTCCAACTGCTGTTGAATGGTATTTGCCATGAAGTCTTTTGCGGTGTCGGTGGAATTGTGAAAGCTGTCGGTTCATGGATGTTCTTCATAAAGTAAATCATGAGCAATGAACTCCATCATGCCCTGGTTAGAGCCCTGCAAGCGGAGACCAAAATGCACCGCTCTGAGGTGCAGCCAGTGTACAGCCACAAGAAGTGGGAGGTGGGGCGGGTCAGCTGTCAGCTTTTGTTGGACATGTTGAACGAACTCTGGCCTCATAATTAGTATCAATATGTATCAATGAAAAAAATGGTAGTGCTGATAGTGACTTGTAATTCTTGATAGATTGGATCGGAAGTTGTGAAATGAAATCAACATAAATCAACTACAGGAGCTGGGCACACCATGGGAGGATGCCGGCAGCAGGAACACTACCAGAAGAGCGGACGACACTTGAAGAATTGCGCAAGCCTTGGTGGAAGCCGACGAGTTTCCCTGTGTTGCCGCGGCCACTAGCAGCATCAGCTCCAGCACCACTGTCAGCAAGTCGTCATAACCATGGGAGAGAATGATCATGATCATCCATCATCATCCATCAATGGGAGGAATTGTAATTGGTATTGCAGTCATGGTTAGGAACCATCCATGATTATCGTCATCTGGGTCCTGATCTTCATGATCCAGTTGCACGCCAGCGGCCAAGGTTGCGCTTACCCAGTGATCACCCGCATGTCCAGGGGCAGCAGCGCACCAAGCGCTCCTTGGTGGCGAGTTATGACTCGGTCCTTGGTTCACACAGTACAACCTTTCAGCCACAGCGTCAGATATGATCTGAACAACTGGCAGCATTACCTTGGTTATTAATGGTTATATACATATATATATATGTATATTATAAGTTATACAATTTGCAGTGGACATTTTTTCACCATGCTAGGGCCTGAGCATCCATTGCCAGTGTCCTCTATAGATTGTACACGCCTCATACTTTGTCAGCCAGACTGCGTTAGCCAAAACATCGTTGGCCTGCAATCAATAGACCAAATCAGAGACCTAAACAGAGGTACCATCTTTATGTTGGGGGATATCCCCCTACAGTCCCCTACGCTGGCCTTGCACGGGCTTTGTATGCTGGTTACGTATGCTCAAGTGCTGTCAATTTCGGTTCCTAAAAGTTCACACCCGGCAGGTGCACTGCAAAGTGAGAAGCCCCATATTCCATCGTAAGATTTCTGGGCTCAAGTGCGCAACTGTGCGCAACTGCTTGGGCATGAGGTGATGATGCAGATTGCCTCAGATCCAGCAGCTTCGGGCACTATTCCAGGGTGTGGGACTGAGCAGTCGGATTTCGTGTAGATCAAGGGCTGGCCGCCTGATCCAGTTCAGTACAGTCAGTATAGTCCAATCGTCCAATCACCGAATGGCTCAGGTCCGGTGCGCCTTCCAGCGTCCAGTCGCCTGTGAAGGGTGGTGCGTCCACTTCAGTGGCTCCAGAGGTCAGGGTACCTGGTCCGTAAGGGAGGAGAACCCCAAGCAGGCAAGGGTCCCAAAAAGTGGAAGAAATAAAACGCCAGCAAGATGGATCTGCCAAAAAGTGGAAGAAATAAAACGCCAGCAAGATGGACCTGCCAGCAGTGAAATAGGTTTGCTTTGCGTAGTTTTTTTAAGACTACATTCATTTGCGTTTGGACATGCGCATGTGTTTGGAATGGATCCCAACATTTCCCAATTTGACTATGACGATTCTTTCCAATGTTTTCTCCAGGTTAGTCATCCAAATGTGATCCCAAATGATCCCAACATATCCGGGGAAGCCCTGGAAGCTGTTGTCGCTGGTTCTTGTTCGGCACATGGAAGACATGCTGCAGCTATTCAAGCATGGCATGGCACTTTGCACAAAGATGCTTAGGAGGAGGTGGCAAGACTGGAGCACAAAAAAAACGCTTTGCAATCTTACTTGGTCCAAAACAAAGCGAGTCAGCGGGGAAGGCATGATTGAGAAACCAGGCCGACTGACAGCCCATCACAAGCAGTCCGTGCTGACTGACTATGCTTCCGAGAGATTTTTTGGCGTTTGTCACACAATGCAACTAGAGCAGAGCAGATGGTGCAGATGGTGTTGGGATCAACCCTGTTGGTGCCCAGCGTGGACATGTAGGACATTTGCCCAGCTGCCGAAAGGCCTTAAGCGCCGAAATCCATTCCTTTTCCTGGTTAATTTTTCCAGGTAGATGTTTACCCCAGCCGGATGTTTGCATCCAGGGGGATATCCTGTTGGCTGCAAATACCTATCTTGAAAGATCTGGAAAGATGCAACGGAAAGTTGTTGCCCATTGCCCTTGGCTCAAGCAACTTCCCTACCAGTAGCATGTCATTGTCTAGTCTATGTATGGCGTCGGAAGTTTTCCTATACTCATTGATTTTTTGTTTCCTGGTGCGTGGGCTGCGATGAATCCGTATTGTTGCAGCACGAAAGTTCCTTTCACGTTGGGCGGCATGGCACATGGGCGCTTCCCCGGGAGAAGACAAATCGAGATATTGCCAATGTCAGTGGCTTCGAACTCACCTGGGGAAGGCTTGGAAACCAGGACGTGCTGTTGATTTTTCATGAATTTTCTCAGTGCCATTCCTGTTTTTGGACAAGATGGCAACTACATTGCCTTGCTGCACAACATGGGGGACGGATTGCAGCTGAGGTATTTGCAGACAGGTGAGCTATCTTTGTTTTGCTCTGGACCAGGCGGTTCCCATCGAACTAAAGTTCGAGGTCTTGGAAATGAAGCAAATGCGGCATACAAACCCCATATAACCCCATGTTGTTTTCTTATGTGATTAGCCGGAAGAAGACAAACATTTCGAGAGGTTTAAGGTTTTTCTTGAAGACGGCCACGGAAAGCATCTTGGGGATCATCGTGGCTGAACAAAAGAATGGGTTGCTACAACAGTACCACACAGCGGCTTGCCTGAGAGATGCGTGGCCGGACGATAAGATTGGTTTGCGACAGCTGCCGCAATGGATGGAATTTCACCTTCGAGATGGCATTGAACATTTCCTCTTTTACACGGTAAATCTTGATTCAGACATCCTCGTCGACTTGTACGAACCCTACATCAAAAGTGGTGTCGCGACACGGGTTCATTTCAACAAAGAGCGTGTAGGTACAAGTCTTAGCAGTTTTGCTCTCGACGTTCGTGCCGCCATTCTGGGAGATTGTTTGTACAGGTTCAAGAACCACGCGACTTGGATTTTGCCATCCATCGACATCGATGAATATATCAACATGAAGGATGGAAGTGTATTTGAAGGTGGTAAAGTGCCTGAGGATTATTTGGGTTTGAGCTGGGACGCAATTGTGAAAAAGCAGGGGCCCCAACCCAACACAGTTCGCTCAATGGAGTTCAACATCTTTCGTTTTGCGCTAGTTCAACCAGGACAGCTGGAAATTTCGTCCGTTCTCCGCGAGCCGCGAGTCCAACCGCTCTGTCCCAAGTTCGTGGTGAACCCGGAATTGGTGCGACACGATCTTCGTGCGGTGCACGTCCTGGAAGAATGGCACGCAGAACTTGGGCCGCTCCGACACCTTGGTCGCTCATCACTTCCGACTCCCTCATGACTATGCAATAGCATGCAATAGCGGGATATATCGAAACATATCGAAACCAATGCCACGGATACCTCGATTCAACAGCACGTTCCCGCATTATCAACGTCCCTCGCAGCCCGTTTTCATGAGGAAACAACGCATTTCTTGAGGCGCCTGAGTTCAGTGGAAGCAGTGCCGATGAAACCATCCATCCTCTATGACTCTATGATGTGGATAGTCCGGACACAGAAGAGGAGTTGCAAGTCGCCCAGGATCCTACTACAGCGGCCTGGATAAGATCCCTCAACAATTTGAAAGGGATTGTCATCGTTGATCCACCATCTGAGCATGCGTTACATTAGAGATTTTGCAGTGATGATGTGCTTTTCAATACTGACCGTGCAAAATTTAGCTGCGGCTGCGATCTTCAAAAAGCAGGCATGATTTCAAATCTTGGCTGACGGTCACCCACTTCCTCTAAACTGAGCCATCTCTTCTCCAGATTTGGCAGGATAGCATGGCCAAAAGTTTTGTACATCAACCTGCCTTTGGAAGGCCTCAAAGTCAATTGACCGCCCTAATTTATTTTTGATAGTTATAGTTTTTGCGTGGCATCCTTCTAGGTAGATGTCTAAATCCGCAAACATCCATCTGAATGTTTGCGTCCAGGACGATATCCTGTTGGCTGTAAATATTTATCTTGAAAGATGCCATGGGGACGCGATATTGAAGACTTTAGTCTCCTTAAAACTGAGGCACAGGATGCAAAAATACTTGAAGCAGCAGAGTTTTGGCTATTGGAAGATGATCCCACCCAAAAATTAGCCATGTTGAAAGCCTTCACTTCAATTTTGGGTTGACTTATTCAATTTCTCAGGGCTCTTTGTTTTGTTTTTCACCGGGCTATAGTTTATTTACAGCTTTACCACGTCAACATGATGAATGAACCATCATTTTGTGATGTCAAAGATGGTACTTCAATGCCCCCAACAGCTGATGAGGCACGGTTTTGATTGGTAAATTATAGCGCCGCCCCAGCATTTTGCTGCGCAGCTGTAGGAGGAAGATCGTCGCTTCGTGCTGAAGGAAGGCCTTCGAATTGGTGCCGGGCTCATTTTGGTATATGATCCATATATAACAATATATATTATATTAATTTATATTATATTGATTTATATTATATATATATATGATATCATATAATTATCACATATATCATATATCACATATAAATATTATATAATTATACATATATATGAATATATATATATATAACCTATATGTGGATATGTTATTACGAAAGCCAGCTAGCTGGCTAGTTGCTGTTTGCGAACGAAGTGAGAATAGGGGGTGTGGGGGGGGGGTGGTTGCCGAAAGGGAACGAAATCTCGCCGTGCCCCTGTGTTGAGCGCCAGAAAACGGAGCATTTTGCTGGATTATGTACCACTAGGCAATTTGCTGACGGTGGGGTATCGATTCCCCCTAGGTCCGCCTTTTTGGTGGCCGGAGAGACCATGAGGATGTATTGGAAAATACAATGAAACTGCAGGAAACATGATAACGATCAGAGGAAATCGTACAAAATCCCCTGGAAAACGGACGAAAACGGAGCGAATGCGAGGAACAAACCATGGAAAATCCCTTGGAAAATGGAGGAAACCGGAGCGAATGCTAGGCGCAAACCATGACGATACAGTAAACATGCTGGAAAAATACAGTGAAAGTGCAGGAAAATGTGATAACAACGAGAGGAAATGGTGCAAAAAGGATCGGAAAATGAAGGAGACAGGTAAAACTCTTGGATTAATACTAATATTGAAAAGGCATGAAAATGCAGGAAACCAGAGGAAATGGTGCAAAAACCTATGGAGGAAAGAGGTGAAAATGATAGGAAACATGTAGTAAAAAAATGCTGGACAAAACATATTGAAAGCCCACGAAGAGGATGTATTGGAAAATACAATGAAACTTGAGGAAAACATGATAACGATCAGAGGAAAATGCTAGGAACAAACCATGCAAAATCTGTTGGAACATGGAGGAAACCGGAGCGAATGCTAGGCGCAAACCATGACGATGCAGTAAACATGCTGGAAAAATACAGTGAAAGTGCAGGAAAATGTGATAACAACGAGAGGAAATGGTGCAAAAAGGATCGGAAAATGAAGGAGACAGGTAAAACTCTTGGATTAATATTAATATTGAAAAGGTATGAAAATGCAGGAAACCAGAGGAAATGGTGCAAAAACCTATGGAGGAAAGAGGTGAAAATGATAGGAAACATGTAGTAAAAAAATGCTGGACAAAACATATTGAAAACCCACGAAGAGGATGTATTGGAAAATACAATGAAACTTGAGGAAAACATGATAACGATCAGAGGAAAATGCTAGGAACAAACCATGCAAAATCTGTTGGAACATGGAGGAAACCGGAGTGACTGCTAGGAACAAACTATGACGATGCAGTAAACATGTTGGAAAAAGACAGTGAAAGTGCAGGAAAATGCGATAACAACCAGAGGAAATGGTGCAAAAACGATCGGAAACTGAAGGAGACGGGTAAAACTCTTGGAAAAATATATTGAAAATGCATGAAATGCAGGAAACGAGAGGAAATGGTACAAAAAGCCATAGAGGAAAGCGGTGAAAATGGTAGGAAGCATGTAATAAAAAAAGCTGGACAAAACACAGTGAAAACCTACAAAAGAGAAGAAAGTAACCACAGGAAACGGTAGAAAAAGCAGTGGAAACTGGAAGAAAAGTTGTGACAATATTAGGAAACGGTGTACAAGCTAGGAAATGCTTGTAACAACTAGAGGAAACGATGTAGAAAACAGTACAACATGGAGGACACGCGTGAACATGCTAGGAGGCATGTAACATGTTAGAAAAATACAGTGAAAACCTAGGAAAATGTTATAACTAAAAAATGCTTTAAAAAATATAGTGAAAACCAAGACAATGTCAACGAGCGGAAACGTTGAGCAGGAAATCCGATTTGGTTTCTGTAGATAATGTTAGATGATGAGCAATGTAGTTTGGTGATAGGAAATAGTGGCTGACTCGCGTACAAGACATTGCCATGAAACCTTGGAGCAAGATGCGGATGGTATAGGAAAAAAGATGTATGAGTTGTAAGATTTTAGGAGTTGCATGGGAAAATTGGTTTCATGGTAATCTGTGTGAAGTTAGAAAAGTGTGATTTCGTTCACAGAGTAAGAAAAATAAATACAATCTGCAGATTAGAGTATTTATAATGCTTAAAGCTGTTTGACGTTTTTTGGTGCCTCCCTGATTCTGGTAGTTTTGTGATAAGAACTACAAAAACGATCTACTGGTAAACGGAAGGAATAGTCTTTCCGGTTTAGAACTGAGTCGACTGTCAAGTGATGCATAGGCTCCAGGCCTCTGGTTATTGTCACAAAGCATTGGAATGAAGATTGCGCCCAGGAGCCACCTAGGTTAGGAGACAAATGCTGTAATATCATTGTAAGAGGCCGTACTGAGAAGGCTGAAACAGAACTAAAAGTGAATCTTGTACTAAAACATCGAGAAAGAATTTGAATCTTCTAATGGCAATGACGGGAATGATATGCATCTGTACGTCCGTGATAGTATGTGTGCCTTTTAGGGATGTTTGGCGAGTGTGATAGCTGAGAAGATTTTCCGGGATGCCAAACAATTATCTCTATCGATGTCAGGGATGATGCTATTCCGCGACATTTCCTGTAAAATACCTATTTTCCAGACCCTTGGGGGGTGGGGGGGGTACCCAGGTCTGTAAATGGCCTAAATATATATACTTTTGATTTGGACTGCATGTTCGCCACTGTTCTATATTTCCCGTGGGTTTTGCATTGTTTTCCTCGATTTTCATTCGTTCTTATACCCTTTCTTACGTATGTTATAATATTGTCTTGGGTTTGCACTGCCCATTTTGCGAGTAGAGCTATGTTTTGATTTCTCACCGTACGGCCAAAATGTTGCGGAACTTCGCGGAGAAGCATGGACCACGCTGGGGAGAAAACAATTTAGACTTTGAGAGGTCACATGACCACTGTTCACACAAAAAAACGGGTATTATTTATCTACAATAGGTGGGAGCAAACTTGCGCTGTTTTAAGATAAATGAGCAACCAAAGGCGGATTTACGGAACTTGAGATAGAACTTTTCACAATGCCGCAGTACATTGTAGGAAACATATTGGATATAGAAATTACAAAATCGTGGAGTTTACCCGAAAAAGGTCCATTTAATGATTGGAAAATTATGACCCGATAGCAATTGTTGATGTTGGGGCGCTTCATGTTTGAGCCATGCCATATGGATGAGGTGGAGTTTCAGTTTCACGCGCCCCCGCGCGAGTCAAAAAGCAAGCGCTGGCTTTCGTTCCACCCCTTCTCAGGTATACATATCATATCATGATATATATATATATATATCCCATTGGTTTTATTTGCCTTGAAAAACCGCTTAAAGTATGTGAAATAAAGTACATTGCATTCGTTTTGAAGGCCAATTTGTCCAGGGTAAGTAACGCTTAGTTGAAATGATTGGGCACACCCCATGGGGTCAATCTGGTGAGCCTGCAGTGACTTACATCTCTTCCACGTGGGCCCAGGTGAAACCTATTACCTGTTGGAACCTCAAAGATGCGCTCGCAGACCCTACGCAGCCATGATGGCATAGTGCTGGTGGAAAGGTCACTGCTGCCACCAACGTGTGCTAAGGCTGGAAATGTCCACCGACGGCCGAACGCTGAACGTCCGGCGCTGTGACTGTGGGGTACCGTGTTCAGAAATAAACAAGTGTACCGGCATTGGCACCGAGAGCAAGTTTGGGAGACCATGTTTTGGTATGTCTTCACATGTCTGCAAATATATTCAAAAGTAATGGTTGCAGAATGTCTGACAGTGCCAGATGACCCACTACTTCCTTTGTAGTGCCTGGGAGCCCCTCCTCTTGTATTATACATGTATATATATATATATAGATACGTGTTGCAATTATGTATTTGAATTGAATAGACACGCAGAGAGAGAGGTACTGTATATAATATATACAGATATCAACTGCTGGCCAGCACCAACGTAGGTCTCGGCTTACGATGGAGAGAGCAAGACATCGCTGGAACTGGTCATCAAGGAGAAGGTGAACCCGAAGCCAACTCAGCGGATAGTGAATCTGGGATAAAGATGGATAAAGTGAGATCAAGTTGGGATGATTTCAGGATGACATGAGATTCATATGTGATGTTTTTGTGTTTGTTGCAGGAGGCGCGGTGCAACATTCTTGGGCCAAAGTATGTGCTACTCATAGGGCGCTTCTTTTTAGCACCTTGATTCCCCACGTGGGTGATGGTCATGTGCTACATTGATAGTTGCAGTGTTGCACAGGTTCATCGCCAACTCTATCGCGAGTGCAACGGCGACTATGCACAAATTGCCGCCATGCATTGAGCTCAGCTTCCACATGTCGTGTTCAGCTACTGTGTTTCGAAGTGGTGGTCTCTTCTGACCATAGAATCAGTGCATCACTGAAGTCTTAGCCGCTAAAGCCAAACTTTTAGTACGGAACCTGGGAGATGGGGTCCTCACAGATGATTCGATTCTTAGATTTGCGACATTCCCGGGACTGTCACGTTTCGAATGTTGGCACCAGACCTTGAGCAGCGAGGCTCCGGGTCGATGGCAGCCGTTTGATCTTGGACAGCCCATTGGCCCAGGGCGGCTGAGCGCTGTGTCGCTGTGTTGTACGTTCCGCGGTGCTGGGGCACTGCTGGAAAGCCAGGTCTAATGAGCGTCGAATGATGTCGGATGGGTGCATTATCGTGGACTTGAAAAAGCATAGAAATTTAAACAAATCAAAAGATATATTCTATAGATTTATGATGATTTATGTAGAGGAATTTTGTTGGTCCCCTGGTCAAGATAAATTCATCTGAAAATAAGTCGAATGATCTGCATGTTTTTACAATCAAACCATTCCAGCAGGACCTCAGAGCGATTTAGTGCTGATTCTCTTGCAGGCTGAGGCTGCACGCGATCCTGACAAGCAACCCACCTTTCTGGTTCGTACTAGTAAGTAGTAAGTATCAAGCTTTGGGATTCATTGCAAATGCCTCCATGATGGTAACAGTCCCATCCTGATGAATCTACCAAGTGGTCAACCAGGGCTGCCGTGTCTTGCAGCATATCATTGAGCCGTGGAATTCGCGGCCGCAGTGGCTCTCAAATTGCAGAGCAGCTCGTGCAACTGAGACGTCTCACTTCATGATTCAAAAAATCCACCAGCTCTGGTAGAAGTCAGGGTATCCAGGATAGCATCAGGATGGAAGAGATAAGTGTCACTTCTTCAAGAATGTTGTTTGATCATATCATATCAATTCATATCATGCATATCATGATGTAGTGATGGCACACGGCTTAAGCGTGGCTGATTCAAGAAGCGCCATGCTGCCCACCAACGCACATCACTCAATAAAATCGTGTCTCAGCACGCTGAACAGTTTCTTCTACATATATTCTTGAATTAACTATATATCTATATATAATTTAATCCTTTCCATCGGATCGTGGGCGCCATCTTTGCTTTACCCGTTTTGCCTGGGGGCCGTTTGGACTCACAGCCATCCCGGTCAGCGTTTCGTGGTCAGGATGCGATGCAACCGGTGCGCCTATGTGGCAGCGTCGCTGCTGGCGCTATGCTGCTGTAGCCCTAGCGGCCCTAGCAGCTTCGTAGGCAGCCGCATGGTGCTGCAAAGACCGTCGGTGCCACGCAGCAATATCCATGGCAGGAATGGCAGGAAGGAGAAAGTCCGAGTAGCTCGCGAGGTCGGATACGTTGTGGGATTTGATTCCTTAGGGGATGGGATGGATGGGGCAGTGCAAGTTGCTTGGATTGCTTGGGCACTACTTCTTTGTTCTTGATCAGTCGATTCAATATATCGATAATATCGATTCCATGTAATTTATGCGCAAGTTATTCAGTCATTGTAATTAATCATTGTAAACCTCTGAGTTGAACTCCCTATTTCCAATCCAAGCATCCATCAGCAGGCCTTTGTGACTCCAGCCATTCCGCTGGTGGGCGCAGCGTTGCTCTTCCTGGGCTTCCAGGCGTTAAACACGGAGGCCGGGGAGGGGGGGCAGGGCCTTCCACTAGGCCACCGAACTGGGTTTTAGGGGAAAAATGATGAAGAATGGCAATGTCAGTGGCAAACAAGGAGCAACAAGAATAAAGATATTAGATGATATTAGTAATGTTTGCAGTGTGACAGACCATGGTATTTCAGATTTTCTCCTTGAAGATCAAGCAATGTCAAGAAACCCAGTCACTTTCAACGGGAGTTTGGATCAGCAAATCAGCACCACAGGTATCCGGCCATTTGTCAGGCAAGTGATGGCGCCCTAAAAGAGTTGCTGCAGAAGTACACCAAGACTCTGAGCAAAATGAGAAAGGGTTACCCACAAAATTGGGTGCTTGCCTGTGCCTGTGCATGAGGGTTTAGTCTGTCAAGTGTTATCATGCGCATTCATGCGCATTGGGTGGAATGCGAGAGAGAGAGAGAGAGAGAAGTATTATACCGATGTATGATGATGTATGCAAAAAAAAGTGATATATTCTGGGAACCGATGTATGCAAAGAATATGATATATTTTGGGAATGCTACAGTTCATACCGCATGGTGAGCTTGGTGGCTTTGTTCAAATATCAGACCTACTATCCCCAGATCACTTGTGAAAAAAAAATTGCTGGGGAGGTTTGTGGAAAGGTTTGTGCATTGGTGTTCTAGCTTGGGGAGGTGACACAAGACACAGTGTTAGTTGCTGTGCTTGGCCAATGGGTAAAGGCTGCGGCTTAGGATCCAAGTTGTGGACGTCACGCCGGACATGGACATCAGCAAGCAGATCGCCAGCGGCGAAACACACCGCCCAGTACTGCGAGGGAAGAGTGCGAAAGATGTTCATTGGTATGTGACCTCGGCCTGTGACTTCATGGTTCCATGAACATACAATGATTCTTATAGCTCTTAGTTCTCAGCCAAAATGGTATATTGAAACAGATTGGAACATATGGTGTACTGTAAAGAGCTCGACCCATGGCTCCATTTCAAAAACCCTTCCACATGTGCTGTGTGGGCCAGGCGTTGAGTGAGGAAGATCTGCCGCCTGTGAAGTGGTTCATCCGAGGCTTGGCTAAGAGGCTTGCCGATCTGTGCCATTTGATCACCACAGAGGTCCCCATATATAGAGAAGTTCTAGGGAATATCAGAATATCCCATGGATTTTTGATTCTCCTGTGGTTTATGGAAACATGTTTGTCGTTATCCCATCCATTTTCCCATTCATTGTTTGTTCGTTCTCAATGTCTAGTCATTTTTCTTGTTCTGTCGCCCCTCCAAAAAGCCAATGGAAAGCCAATGGATTGGTCGTGTTCGGACCTCACCTGCAACGTTCCAAGTTCCATCCCTGCCCACATTAAGGTGACCCAGCATGTTTGCGGCGCGTCTTGTTCGAGGGAGGCTTGGGATTGGGAGAGCTGCTTGGCCTCGAAGACATGATCAGAACTCCTGCAAAAAAGCGAGTAAGTGGTGAGCCATGTTGGCACCAGATCAATTCACATTTGAACAAACATAACAAACATTTTCTGTGAGATAGATATGATTAGATATGGCTAACAGTAACGGTGTTGAAGGGGCATTTGCCCATGGGATTCCCGAGGTCCTACATGGATGGACAGTGGGAAAGTGACGACGTGGAGCGTTTGGTCTATGAGCTTCTGCGAATCGAAGATCAGACCAAGGACCAGTTATGGTGGATCGTCTTTAACAGTAGCAGGTGGCTGAATTCATGTTGGATCAAGACTGTTGCAGCTATCAAGGGTTCAATTTCTATGTATTTATTTCCATAGTTTTTGCAACCGTGATGACGTGATGCCATATTGGGTTTTTGTGCGTACGACGTACGCGTATTTACGATTCACCAGAGGTCGATGGTTGGAGCGAGTGTTTTCTCTAGTGATTGGTACTTTTTGTGAAGTGCTGTTTCTTTCTTGCAGGTCAAGCGCGCTCAGCCGGTGGGTGAACATGCCCCCCTTACCAAAACTTTTGCAGCTGACGTTGAAAATGTCACCCCGTTACTAGTTTTCATCCAGATGGCTCCAGAGGAGTTGGGAGCCAGAGAACTGCCTTTGATTGCCAACATTGTCTTTGGAGCCCTCCGAGGCAAAACCACCAGGGCAGTAAGGGCTACTTTCCAGGCTTCCATTGGGTAAGATATGGTGGATCCTATGGGGGATTGGTACACCCCAGCTGGGGGAAATCCCTGGACCCTGGGAGCGTCCCCAAGTCCATCGAGATGGCTAGTGGCCACCTGAGTGTGAAATTTACTTCGTTTGTTTTGCTGACAATCTAATTATATGATATATGGATATGGATATGTAATGATAATAAGTGTGCTCTCCGCATGGGGGAAATTACCCCGCTTCTTGTGACTATTCACAATTCAGAGGCAGACAATCCCACCAACCAACATCAACCAGCATCGATCAACATCAACCAACCCCGTTTCCCAACATCTCCATCCCTTTCTCATATAAATTTCATTAGTTTTCCCATCATCCTTCAAAACTGATGTTTCATCTATCATGTCACCTGTCCATCGATTTCTGAGCAAAATCCCCAGCTTTTTCCATGAGAGAAAGGAAGCACCTGCGAGGCAAGCTGTTGGAGCTGCCTGGAAACACCGTGGCAGGCGCCCAGGAGAACATTGGTCGCACCTACGACGTGGCGCCTGGGCTGATGGGGTGCCGGGGTAGGGCTGGACCCGAGGAAAAGTGAGGAACCAATTATGAATTGATCAGTGAGAAAAGAGGAGATGTGAGAAACAGTTTTTGAACGACTAAAATAAGTAAAACCCGATAAACTAAGATGAAGTTATGGCATGATGATGTGGGTGAAGAATGAATATTCTGGAAATTGAAAGATGAACATGGTTGTTGGGGCTTAAGGTGGGAACGCGCCCCACCAATTGTTGTTAGATCAGCATGAGCAGAAGATAGTTATCCTAAGCCTGCAGGTTTCAACAGGACCGAGGTGCCCTTCCAATGTTTGGGGTATATTGGGTCAGGATACGATCAAGATCTATGAGCAGATGCTTGATAGCAACATGCAGCACCTCGATTGCGGCGAAATCATGCCAAAGGGAAGTTTCGGAGCGTGCTGTTCTTAAGATTTCTTAACACTGCATATTGTGGTCGCACTTAGCCCATATATCCATGAAGATCCATGGGTACGCACATGACCATGCACGCGTGAGGTACTGTTGTTCGCATATTATTGAAGGTGGTTAGTTATTGGATCCTTGCACTAGCAGTCACTAGCACGGGCGTTTCTTGCATTAAAGAGAGCGAATGGCGGTCAAGTAATCTACAGAGTTCTGGTCTTCGGCCATGATCCACCTTAAACGACACGCATGTGCCTCCAGATGTTGAAGGCTCAACACTTCTAGTAGTACAGCCACTTTGGAAACAATATGGGAATGGGTCCAAATGACAGCCCCAGATGACCACAGACTTGGGTGATGTTTACATAGATTTTAAAATTTGGGAGCAGCATGATTCTGTGTAGTTGCTGTTGAATAGAAACAAGGTCGTGCAGCTGGCCTGCTCTACAAGTCAAACTAATCATTGGCATCCCAGGTACTCCGTGGGCTACTTCTACGACCCGGACATCACCCTGGATGAAGCCCAACTGGCCAAGATGGAAATGATCGGTCGAAAGCTGGACCTCAAACCAGGTCAGGGGATGCGAGACGGTGTTCTCTTGGCCTGGCCACCCAAAAAGACGATTATATAAGGGATATAAGGGATATGAGGGATATGAATATATATATATATGAATGTTATAAGATGTGAAGTTGATAATCCATGACAACCAGAATGGATAAAAAGTATTTAAACAGTATCAAGCCACCAAGATTGCTTTGATATGGTTCACTTTAATCCTGAAATAGATCAACCCGATAATCATCAGAATGGGTCCACACCGACCAGAACGGGATGCCATGGCAGGCATGAAACTCCTGGAGATCGGTTTCGGCTTCGGCAGCTTGGCTCACTTCCTGGCCACCAAGTACGATGTGCAGATCACTGCCGTGACCTTGTCCAAAGCGCAGATGGAGCCTTGGCAGCGATTAGGGCCAGGGGGACACTGGATATGGAAATCCAATGACATCCATGGGTTTCTGCAGTAATTACAATGGTCTATATATAATGATCATTAATGATCCATAAATATAAACGGGCTGTGTTCCATATCGACGTAAACTTACTGCATGGAGGGCCTCTCTCTCCACAATTCCCTCAAGTTTCTGAAGTTTGGAAGGTTCATGAAGGTTCGGATTATGGGTATGGTTGACTTGGGATAGGGAGAGAGGTTCGTTGTCATGCCTTGTCTGGCCACAATAAACCCACCAAATTGGTCTATTTCAGGATTGAATCAAATCAAGATGGTTGTTGATAATTTCAACCCATACCCCTCAAATGGCCATAGAATTGACATAAAGCTCGCATTTCTGGACCGATTTGCCTTCAGGAATGGGCTCAAAAGCACTATGGCCATCCCAACATCGACTTTCGCTATGCCGACTACCGAGACGCTGAGGGACTCTATGACCGAGTCTATTCAGTGGGCATGTTTGAACACGTGGCTGGCTCGTGGTTTCATGATCATTAGTGTTTTTTTGTCCAAGAATGGAGATTTAACCGGCCAAAAATAAGGAATTGAGTCCCCAAAACAGGAAGTTCACCAATGAAGAATAGAATCGCGTTAGGTAGTCCAAGAATCGGGGATAGTCCAACCAATGGCAATTTCAATGTGAAAAAGTATGATAAAACCATGAGAATTTGGGGTAATTACAATGTTTTGAGATGTTTTGAGGAAAACCCACATATGTTTGTTACAATTTTGTACCTATCCCTGGGAATGATGATCCCCAACTTCATTTGACAGGGATGCCCTGTCAGGTGGGGCGGAAGTCCTTTGCCACATACTTTGACAAAGTGCACCTTGCCCTTATAGAGCTGGGACATGTGTCTGCATTCATAAAATGTGGCAAACCTGGTAATTAATGAAAGCGCCCATACCCAACTGGATGTTTCTTATTGGTTTACCACACATCACAAAGATTACAAAATTAATTTTGGCTTTGAGGCTGAACGTTGGCCCACAGGTATGACTGCCTCAAAGATGATGGCATTTTCTTGCTCCACACTCTGGGCTGGGCCAAGCGGGGCGAATGGAACCACAACGCCTTCGATGCTTGGCTGACAATGGTGTGTATATTGTTTGATGAGTTGCATATACGTAAACACACGCACACAATCACACACAAACACACACACAGACATACACACATACATACATACATACATACATACATACATACATACATACATACATACATACATACATACATACATATATATAATTATATATAATACCATATATACATATATGCACATATAATCAAATGCGAAATATATGTTACACATGCACGTGCCCAGACACATCATACTTATGGGATGGAGCAGGCCTGATGTTTTCACTTCAGTCCCATCAAATGAATCCACATCCAGTGGTCGTTAATTTGGGTGAATCCCACGACAGCCCTACAGATACTAGTAGAAAAGAAATCTGGAGATATCGGAGATACCTCCGATAATCAAACATGAGAATGGGGAATCCCTGTAAATGGCATTCAAATGGGAAATTTATAGAACTAAGTGGGGGATCTCATCTACAGTGGCTCCTGTTTTGGCTACCTGCTCGCCAGCCTGCGGCTGCACCTTCGGGATGGCGAATGTTTCATAAAGCACAAACATGGGATAAACAGGGAATAGAGCCAGCCAACAGGATGTCTGGAGAATCCAATTGGTGACGTGTAAATGTTGTCTTCATGTGTTGCTTGCCATAAACAAGACGGAGTCAATGATATTCTTCTGACAAATAAGTTGTTTGAACATGTTTGAAAGGTATTGGTAATGTTGGACATGATTTCACCGCTAGGACAACAGTTGTTCCTCTTGCGTGCTTTCCACCACCATCCACCACCCTTTCCCCTCAGACTCCTACCATCGAATTTTTTGCTGCCAAGGTGGGGAAATACATTTTCCCGGGTGGGGAGTTGCCGACCCTGTACCTCTTGACCGAGGATGGGCTGAATGGGGCTGAAGGTTGAGGGTTCGAATTCTGATCTCCAAATCATTACCGGGTGCTATGAGGAATCCTACTTTCAACAGCACTATCAGCACTGGCCAGTGGTTGAAGGTGTGATCAAGACGAGGTCAATCACCGCTGCAGCCTTCCGTGACCGCAGGAGTTTTCGGACAAATGGCACTTGGAGGACTGTGATGGACTGTGCCTGACTGAGCGTTGTAATGCGTTGTAATGTCTATATAAAGTCTATATATAATAATTGGATATAATTGGGCAGTCAGTTAGGTATGATGGGTTGGCGCAAAATAGGATTTGGATGGGTATGGGTGCGTCCCATTGGTACCATCCTGGCTCAGCTTCGCTTGCCTCATGGCCTGACTGGAGAGGACTTCCATAGCCTTGGAAAGTGTTACGCTGTGGCCTGAGAGTCTGAGAGTTTTGCTGTGAAGGGAAGCCACAGAAAATATGGGAAAACTTGAGTTTGCCTGAAACTGATGCACCCTATCATACCCTATCCAATTTTCAGTCACACCCACATGGTGATGAATGAAAGTTAAGGGCCTCACACACCACATATTTAAGACTGTTGACAGCAAACCGGACACCAGATTCTGGCCCACATGACGGGTTTGAGTTGAAGATCGGTGCAAGGCACCCAGAAAAGGCTCCTGTTTGACAACTCGAAGACCTTACAATACTTTTGACATTTTGAGTTGCTGATTGTTGCATATCCACATGGTATTTCAGCCGATTCCACTGATAGGGGACAACTCAGGTGCAAACCCTTCGAAGCTGGCTCAATAACTTGAATCTGGGTAGCAGCATTTGGTGAAACTGGCGATTGGTTTGAGGTAGGAGACCTGGATTTTTGCGGCATCCATTTTCCATATGCCATAAGTTTTCCATGGTTTTCCTGGCAGATAAACGTTTGCTGGTTGTAGTTTTCCATCCGTACTTGTGATGATAATCCAAATTGACCTATCACTGATACTTGTACAATTCTTTGGGATGATTCAACGAGTTGACCTTCGAAGTCTCTAAGCGCGTCCGTGTTGTTTCCTATTGAAATGTTTGTGTTGTGGGGGTGGTGCAACCAGACAATGTGTAGCCACCCAGTTTCCTGGCCTAGGAAGACTTGGGAGGGCATGGACGAGTTCGATACCAAATTCAAGCGCATGTCACTTGCCTGCACCCCTGGGTCCATCAGCCTGCCTTGGACGATCCCTGACGTTTGGAAGGGATTTGTAGCTGGGGGAGACTGGGGGTACGTCTCTGCTTTGGCCAGTTAAATATAGTTAAAGGATGTTAAAGGGATTTAAAGAGGCATATGCCAGGTACTCAACATGTTCTGGGAATACTGGGATCATCCCTCTCAAGGTTCCTGCTGCTGAGGTGGGAATATTACCTTTCCTGTTGCGCAGCAGCCTTTGAAAAGCGAAGGAGACAGGGTGGACCTTGTCAAGAACAGTTTGGGGCGCAGGGGGGAGAAAGATGGCAGCAGAATGCCACACATGTGGCCTTGTTCAACGCTTTTGCGAAGAAACAGTCCAACTTTTTTCATCGGATGACAAGGAGTGTGCTTGCATGGCAGGACGAAAGTTTGGCAAATGGTATGGACTAAACAGCTGAGTACGAGGTGATGGGTGGATGGGAAGGGCAGTAGCGCTTTGCTTGGTGTGGAGGGTTTTGAAAGTTACTTTGCTTCGCATGGAGTCTGGAAGTTCCGATTTTATATTCATCTTGAGTCAAAACTATTCAGTCCCAAACTTATCAAAATGACAATGACAAAGGCATCCAATCAAGTTGAGACAGTGGTTTTGTCAAAGGACGCTTGCACACCTCGCTGGGTTTGGTCCTGTCGCCAAATTGGGCACCCATCGCTTGAATCCGCTTGACAGGTTGGATGACTGCCACCACATCCGCTTGGTGGATGGAAAGCCGCCCCAATAGATATTTCCTGAGTCCCCACGGCTGTGCCGTGGTGAAACTAGGGCGCCAGAAGCCAAAGTGCTTGTGGAATGCAGAGAGCCAGGGGAGGCCATACATTTAACCGTGCTCAGATTGATGACATGTTCATGATATGTTCATGAGCCATTTGAGGCCGATGGCACTGCCGCTGGTTCGCTGCAGAGATTGTTTTGGTAGCTTCGGTTAGGCATTCAGCCTCCAGCCCCGATTGTTATCACAGCTTCCGGGAATCTTGGAACCGCTCTCCCCAATAGTTACATGAGTTTTCATCACTTCTCAGACGGAAGGAGTCAGCATGCATGCTTGTGTGTATGATTGATCATCCCAGCTCACGATACATACAGTAGATTGCAATGTATTTTTGCACATTGATCGGGGTTCCTGATTATAATGATTATATGGTAGACACTGTCGACAAGAAGGGCCGAGACCGTTTTCTGGTTTCTTTTCCGTTTTTTGAAACCATCAGACCATGAGAGCCCCCTTCAGTGTGACGTTGACTTTGTCAACAAGCGGGTCATCATAGACGGTTGGAGGCTGTCTTTTTTATGAACCGCTGGCACCCAGCAGCTGAGAATGATCGCCTGCCAACGATGTGGGCAACATACCACACTGCAGAGATGCCAGCGAAAGCGCTGAAGACAAGGTGAAGGTTTGATGCCTATTCACAAGTCTCGCGAGGTCTTGATGGTTTGAAGAAGGGGTCGATCGAAATAGCGGGCCTGGAAGTCCAATGGATCACGCGAGACATTTTCCTACCGAATGTGTGCCGTCACCACGGTGAGCTGGCTTGTGGTTTCAACGTGTTTCAACTCTTTTCCAGCCATTCTGAGCATTTATATTTTTCATGATTTTCATGTATTTTAGTTATATATATCATAGAGGCTTCACCAGAGCCTCCTTGGGATAACCTCGATCTTACACGAGTGCAGCCGGTGCAGCATTTGGTGGTTCAAGCCACTGCAAAGCCCTTGGAATGATCATTATAACCGATCAAAACCGATCCATGTTCAGACTTTCGTAACTTTGGTCATGTCATGACTCATGACTGTGACTGTGATGATTATGATTAGTCCAGGATATGCTTTGAAATCGTCAATGGTGATCTAGCATGACTGTCAAAAATGCTTGCCCATGATGATAATCAATCAACATAATCCTCCATCTTTGCAATCATACATTTCAAAGCATTCTTTTTTTTTAGGAGCTTAAGTCATAATAGCTATGCCCTCTCTTCCCTATCCCTGTGCTGCTCAGTGAGCGATGACGAGCCAAGAATTTCTGGAGGCACACGGGGTGCCCAGCGTTAGAATTTGATGATGTATAGTACTGTGTGGTTAACTATGCTTCGATAATTTCCAGTGTCTAATTGCCATTACCGCATGTAATGTAGAACAATGACTCAAATCTTAGATAGATATATGGTTAATAAATGTTAATAATCCCTATGAATGTCCTATTAATATCCCATTAAGCATGTTGAATATCCTAATGGATGCTTGCTGTTCTGCTCATCTAAATATTTGGCATGCCGGTACATCACGGGCGAACTGGACTGCCAGGCGCTCTCGGCCAAAGAGCTCCTTGGCGGCAATTCATGACAGGGACCTCCATGGACATTGGTGACCTCCAGCACGATGCAAACGTGTTTAGAATGTTTAGACGATGGGAGGAAAACCATGAAACTTTACAATAGAAAACACATTAAAAAACAGTAGCAGTCACATCCCTTTTCATATTTGATATGATTTAAGATGAAATCACAAAACTGCCCCAGAATAAAGATGTAGATGGCTAAATTCCCGATGTGCACGATGATGTTGGTAGTTCTGTCCTGCCATCCGCTGATTGGTCATACCTCTCCACTGTTCCAGTTTCACAAGGTATTTTATGAACTTCCTGTCATTGTCATTGTCGTATCAGTGTAATTGGCAACATGACTGCCTTTATGATTTATGAACATTTATGATGCTTTAATGCAGGTTGTTCGTAAAATCCCAGCCTTTGTTGGTCATGTTTGTCATGTTTGTCATGTTGGTCGTATCATACACGGTTATGCTGTGAAATAAAGTTTGTTTTAAATTAACACCCCAACATACCCCAATCAAATCACATGAATCAGTCCAAGAGTCCAATCCCCAAATTTATTCTTGGTATAAACATCATGTAAAATATGTAAATCCCCAAAAAATGCCATAAAATGCTCCTACATGGTCGGTTGACGTTCTCTTCCAAATGGACCCAAGGTATTTGCAGCACTTTCACCTGGACCATTACCTCTCCGAAGCCTTGCGCACGTGCGGCACGTGCGACTCGCCGGCGCAATTGGCCCAGTTCTTCCAGGCGCAGAAGCGCAGTTGGCTGAGTCAGGGATGACTAGCTGATCTAAGTACTTCAGCTGATACACTATATACACATAATTATATATATATGTGTGTGTAGGCTGATTTATTATGTCATTGATTTGCTGTGATTTGCTGTTATATATTGCATACATATCCCGATTGCTGATCAAACAAACTTCCCCCGCAGCAGGAGGTTTTGGATGGCAGCCGCTTGAAGGCGAAAGCTCAGCAGTTCAGGATCGATGGTGGACGGTCACGGCAGGGCGTTAACTGCTTATCCATCCGTTGGAAAACCAGCCATTTCGTCATACTTGTAATGGGATTCTCGGCCATGAAATAGGTTAAACATCAGGTTTAATGGCCACCCCGAATTAAACCCATTAAACAGCAACAAAAACAGGTCAGGGAGAGCTCAGCAAGCATTTTGTAGCTGGCAAACAGCAAACCCCTAATCGAAAAAAATGCCACCGTTGACAAGGGGTCATTCTTGCTGAAATTGCTGGCCGGATTAGTTTCGTTGTCATTTTTGTTGATTTTCGCTGCATTTTAGCATTAAGGAGGGTTCAAGAAACAAAGAATGGATCAGGCTGGTGGATAGTCAGCAATTCGTTAATCCTCAAATTTCTCATCCAATTTAACAACTGACTAAAGGGGGTCCGGATTAGTAACGATTACCAATGAACATGAATTCTTGTTAGAGCGGTTTTGCCAGTTGCATAAGCAAAATCGAAGGCAAGGGACACTGCAACCATTCAGACAGATACCCGTTAAACGGAATGCTCAAGTCACAACGGCCTTGCCTGCCTCGAAGTCAGATGGCTCCCAGCCATGGGTGGGTACAGGTCGGCTTCCAGCCGCCGCCTATCAACTACTCGCAGACTCAAGTGGTTGCGTTGGAGATCTCAACAGCACATGATTGTTCCAGAAGACAGGCTTTGGCTCATGTATCGGTTAGCCATGATGACCATGCTCCATACTGGTTGTTTTGGTGTGTTTCTAGATTCCACATGTTCGACTCGATTCCCTTTGCGTGGCAGACAACGCGACATTTTTCCATTATCTCTGGTTGCCGGTCAGGAGTTCAAACCTGAAAGTTGGACAACTCAGCGTTGGGCTTTGCTTCGTCTGTTTGTCAATGCAGTCATTGGATCCCTCAACTGGTGTTATGGTGTGAAAAAGGGCGCAGTTGGGCCAATCTGCAGAACGGTCGTGCAGCAGGATGTTGTCAGCCGAATTGTGAGTCGATGTCTAAATTTTGAGCAGCGATTACAAGAGCCAAGTGCAGGAAGCTGGGAAGCCTTCACGCCTGACTGGGTCGACTTGGGAGAGCGCCCGTTGGGTCCCAAATACGGAAATTTGCAGGCAGAAGCTGTAGATGTGCTTCCATGTGCAGGCGCTTGTGATCCCTCGACGTGTCTCCCACAAGAGGTGCGAGAAGTTGTGGAATGTGAAGGCCTCATGTTTGGTGAGGCCCCAGCCGGTCTGGATGCATATGAGGGCGTGCCGCCAGAGGATAGAGAACAATATGTCAAGCTGGTAGTTCGTCAACTCCGGGCCGGGCAATTAGGACTTTCCAGTCATGCCAAAGGCGGTGGCGGCGTCATTGCCGTTGCCAAGCCTGGTGGCAAGCGGCAGCGTGCAGTGTGGAATGGTAGTCGGGTTTCAGCAGCGGCTGCAAAACCTCCAAAGCCTCGTCATTTGGCGTCTCCAACAGCTTTGACTTTTTTGGAATGCATGGAGGGCCGTACCATCAGATGCAGCAAGAGAGATGCTAGCTGTTGGTTTGATCAGTTGGCTCTACCAAAGGAATTGCAACTATGGATGGGACGGCCCCCAGTATACCTGGAGGAACTTTGCTCTGTTGGAGATATGACAAAAGAGGGGATACAAAAACACATGCTTCCTGGGTCCCATACAAACAAAGATTTGGTTGTGCCGGTCAGCTTGACATGGCCTATGGGATTTGCGTGGAGTTCTTATGTTGCCCAAGAATTCTTGCTTGATCTCTGCAATTCAGCCGGCCTTTCGGAGCACAAAGTTTTATCTTGCGAAACCACTACCCCAATGTCCTTTGAGCTTGTTTTTGCAGCAGCAACTGATGACCTGATGATTTTCAGTGATGCCAGGCCAGGTGTCACACAATCTGCCGCCAACAGAGTAGATAGTGAATTTCAACGGCGTGGTGCTGTCCGCAATTCTCGCAAAGATATTGATGATGAGGTTTCTGCAACCTGTGTTGGGGTGCAACTGGAAGAGGGCACACATCTGGGCGTCCCCCCACAGAGATGCATTGCAATGGTGGTTTCTTTGCTCTTTGTGCTGGAAAAAGCCTTTGCGTCCCCCAAGCAAGTGCATCAAATCTTGGGAGTGCAACAGTGGTTTGACTTGCTGTGCCGCTGCAAGCTGTCTGTGCACAACAAAGTCTACAGTTTTGTGCGCGATCCCCTGGACACTACGGGCCGTCCGTGCTTGGTCTAAGGCTTTCCGGGCTTCTCGGAAGTTGGCCAATACCTCACCATCCGTCGGTTCCTCCGCAAGGGCCAAAATGGCCTCATCATGCCATTCTTGGATTTCTTCCAACTCATCATCCACTTCATAGATCCCATTGGGCTCTTGCTGTTCTTCCACTGGCTCTTCATCATCTACTGCATAAGTATGTCCGGGCTGGTTCTTCTTCACCTTCACCTCCTATAGACGTGGCAAGTACTACCGATGAAAGGCTTTATGGTTGTAGAGACAGGGAACAAATCCATAAAAGTGCAGTAGAAGTATTGAGAAATTATACATAGTTGTAGCAATGGTTCAACTTAAGAATCCCTCAGCGAAAGCGAGTTGAGTATACGATTGAGCACGGTAGTATTATAAATCATACCCTATTCCTAGTCGTTTACAGACCTAGGACCCCCCCCCCTCCCCCCCGGGTCTGGGAAGCAGCTATTTTTCCGTCTACATATCTTTTTTTCCCTTCTTGATACTAGCCTCTCCGATTGTCTATGGTGATGGCATATGCAGGGACAGTCACAGTCTTTTGGTCAGGTTAGCTCATCAAGTGTCAAGTCTGCAGCAGGGGCGGTTGTGGAGGCACTGGTGAGAGAACGCTCTGATAGGTGCAGTGTCCATTGAGCTTTGAATGTTTGAGGAAGTCTATTCCTTGTTGAAACAAGCAGCAGGAACAGTTTAGTCTTTGCCACTTAGTGCCGTCATGCAGGGAAGCTCTTCTTGTTCGGAGCTTTCGGCGGGAATGGTCGTGGAGGCAACCACTATCAACCACTCAATTTCGCTGTGCTTGCATTTGAAGCAAGTTCCAGATCTGGGTACCCCCTCTGTATTTTACCGGACACATGCTAGAAAAGTACAAAGACAAAATTGAGTACGAGAGGGTAGGGCCAGTGAGTTTAAGAATTCTGAAAAATAATACGGCGCAATCATCGCTGCGCACATCTCTTTCAATGCCGCGGAACAGTGGTAAGAGAATTAAGTTGGAAATCTGACGTGTATTAATATGAGGCAAACGTTGCTTCAAATGAAAGTCTCGCAACATGATATTGCTGGAGACCTTCGTTCCAGAAGAGCAGCACCAGTAGCTGATCGTATAAAAAAATACGGTACTTGGAATGTTTTGCTCGAAACCGTTCAAGTTCATATAATTTTGCTATCAGATCTGGAACCATCCCCTTCAGGCAAGCCCATCTGTGTGCAAGCCTGCAACAGAAACGGTGATGGAGGCGGGAGCAATTATACAGACTGTAGTTTGAGTGAATACACTGAGTAACCCACAGAAGGTGAAGCACCATTGTTACAACTTGCCAGGCTGCAACATTATCAGTAGCTAGCAGTGTCTCTGCCTCTGCAGCTGCGGAGGCTAGTGCGTTGTGTCAGATATACGCTCGAGACGTAACAGTTTTCCCTGGCAACGAGTAGAATCTGGTGAAGTGCCTGCATGGTTTTGAATGCCTTGTTGAAGTTCTTCCCAGGCAAGCCCGTCACTTCGCAAGTCTGCAGCAGGAATCGCGGTTGAGGCAAGCCAGTTCTTGCCAATTAGCCCTAGCTTCGTGAAGCGCCTCTTAGGTACGAATGCTCTTGATGAAGTCTGTCTCTCTTGCATGCAGCAGGAATGGTCGTGGAGGCAATCAACTCACTAGCCGTGTGCTTCCGCTTCCAACAGTAGCTACTCACAGATCTGGAGCTCCCTTCGCCTCAAGCAAGTCTATCTGTGTCCAAGCCTGCAGCCCTCAGGCAAGCCCATCTGTGTCCAAGTCAGCCGCAGAAACGAGGCGGAGGTAAGTACACAGATTATGGTTTGAGTGAATATAGTCAGTAACCCCTAGAAGTTGAAGTACCACTGTTTCAATGGGCCAGACTCCAACATTGTCGGTAGCAAGCAGTGCCTCTGCCTCTGCAGCTGCGGAGGCCAGACGCTGTGTCGCAGTCACACGCTTCAGACGTAATGGTTTGCCCTGGCCAACTAGTAGAATCTGGTGAAGTATGTACGTGGTTTCGGATGCTTCGTTGAAGTTCTTTTCAGGCAAGCTCATCAAGTCTCAAGTCAGCTGCAGGACCCGCTACAGAGGCAATCACGCCGAGAATGCTATAGCATGGTGGAGTGTCCGTTTGGATTTGAATGTTTGCTGGAGCTTGTTCCTGGCTTAGGCAAGCCCGTCTTCTTTCCTGTTTGCTGAAGCTTGTTCCTTGTTCAGGCAGGCCTATCTTCTTTCCTGCTTGCAGCAGAAGCAGTGGCGAAGGCACAGACTATGCTTTGAGTTATTGTGGTGGGTTGCCCTTGTGGTACTGAAGTTGCCAGTAGTACTGTTGAGGCTGCCTCTGAATTGTGAATACTCTAGATGAAGTCTGTCTTTTTTGCAGGCAAACTCCTCTCCTTCCAAACCTCACAGATCTGGGTGCCCTCTCTCCCCGGCTGGGGTTTGGAAGGTAAGTCTTTTACAGGACAAGAGACGTAACAGTGTCAGAGAACTGAACTCGTGAGAAACAGTATAGAGCAAGCAAGGTTGCGAACAGCTCTGCTAATGTCCCAGAACACTAGTAAGAAAGGCAGTCCGCGAAAATGTCAATGAAAAAGCTGGTGGGTGGGACCCTTCCAGGGTAATGGGACGAAGTAAATGTTGCTTCCAATGAAACTATTGCACAGTGAAGCAGAGTGAAGTCTCTGTAAAGAGGCCACACGCTTTTGAATGCTTTACTATCAAACCTGTCAATAATTCAGGCTAGTTCATCCTTTCCCGAGCTTTCAGCACGAACAATTGCCGAGGCAGTTACGCGGGGTACTTTTTTGGGGGTTCCTGTGCAATGTCATTACGTTGTGAAGGCAGCCCTGCCAACAACGGCGCTTCCCGGTGCTTGGGTGATGGGCCAAGAGATAGACAAGTATTTGTTACCTAGACTGAGTATGCTACAGAAATTGCAGAGACCAGTGTCGCAATTGGTTAGATGCCTTGCTAACCAGTTTATAGTGTGGTAAAATGCTTGCCTGATTTTGAATTCTGCGTTGGTGTTGGTGTTCTTCTCAAGCGAGCCCAACAACTCTCGAGTTCGCAAGCTCATTAAGTCCCAAGTCTGCAGCGGGAACAGCTCTGGAGGCAATCAAGCAGAGAATATTATAGTCTGATGGGGTGCCCCTTTGGATTTGGGTGTTTGCTGGAGCTTGTTCCTTGTTCAGGCAAGTCCAGCTTTTTTCCTGCCAGCAGCAGGAATAGATGCGAAGACACAGGCCTGAGTTGGGTTTTCTATGCGGTCTTGTCGTGTGGGACTTGAAGTCGCAAGCGCCACTGTTGGAATGCGACAGGCTCCAGCGGTGTTGTATTGTTGATGACCAGACCAGTCTGCCAATTAGGTATAGCTTTGTGGAGTGCCTCTTGCGTACGAATGCTCTTGATGAATTCCATGCATCTGGCAGGCAAGCTCCTTTCCTTCGGAGGCTGCCGCAGGAACCGTTGTGGAGGCAAGCTATGGATCAGCACCGTGCTTACAATTAAATCAATGTACAGACCTGGCAGGCACGCTCTTCTCCGTCAGTGGCTACAGCAGGAAAAGTTGTGGAGGCAATTAACCGATCAGCAGTGTGCTTGCAACCGCAGCCGGAAAATCGGCAAGAAAGCTTCGGACCATGTAAAAAGAAAAGGAAGTACGAAAAGGTGAGTTCAATAGGTTGGTGCCACGGGTTTGAGAAGTCTGTGGAAATGGTATGGAGCAATCCATTGGTTGCGAACAGTCTAGTAATGTCCTGAGGGACCTTTCTACGAGTAATAGGAGCAAATGCTGCAGGCAGCCCTGCCAACGACGGTGTTTCCTCCTACCTGGGTGATGGGCCAAGAGACTCTAAGAGGCTTCATTTTTGGTAAGTGTCTGCTTGGTCTGAATGCTTGTTGGTATTGGTGCTCAGGCAAGGTAAGCCCGTCTTTTGGTCCCGACGACTGGGCCGGCCAGCTCTGGTACGGTTCTTTGGTTCAGGCAGATGATCCATGGTGTGGCTACGCACATCCAAACCTTGAGTAGAGAAGCATATCTTCTAAATAGGCCCATAGGAGAGTGGAGTGTCCATTTGCGGGTCAGGTTAGCCCGTCTTCTTTCCCCGGCAACGACCGCGTTTGCCATCTCTCGTGGTTCTTTGGTTCAGGCATGCTGTGAGATTCATGGTGCAGCTATGCATGTGCAAACCTTGAATAGAGAAACACATCCATATCTTCGAAATAGGCCAGTCTGTCCGACATGACGAAAATTTCGTGCTGCCTGCTGTTTATACAAAGACTAGTGGCACACTTGTGATCCCGCCAGCCAGGCTTTGGCATCTCCAAAGAAGCGAGTTCTGCGGCCGCAGCGAGTTACGCTTGCTGGAGTGGTTGGGGCTCCAGGTGGGGCTGTTCTTCATCAGCCTGGACACTTGTGTGCTGTTGTCTATATGCTAACCGAGAATGCGAGCCTGCTCAAGGAGCACTTTGTGCGAATCGGGGATTGCCTACCCGATTATGTTCCAATGGTTGATGTTGAGAATAAATGTTCCAGTTCGACGACGTCACACGGGCAGCTGCTTCCGCATTGCTGATCTTTTCTCCAGTGCTGCAGTGGGTCTTGAGCCAAAGAGGCCAGTTCGGATTGCCCCTTTGGTGCTGGATCACAGAGTGTTTAGTTGTGATATTATACTTGATCCGTAGCCTACACTCTATTCGCACCCCCCACGCATAGCCAACTTTGTTGGCTACGCGCAAAGGAGTGTTCTTTGAATTGATCCACTACACTCGCAGCTGTTCATTTATTGAATTATGGAGAGCTAAAGTCCGTTCAGAACTTCATATCTACATGGCGGCTTGCTACAATCTCTACCAAAAAATGAAGGTTCTGTTCACGTGCATGTAGACACGACGTAGTCGGTGTCTAGCATTGAGGTTCATCCAATGTGGCGTAGCCAGCATGGAGTCTCACTCAAGCATGTGAATTAAAGAAATCAAAACACAAAGTTGACTATGGAACTAGAAGTTTACCTTCCCGTCCCTTCGTCGGTTGAGACGTAGACCGCTGTAGAAACTCAGCGTTTCATGCAATGATGTTCAAAAAAATGTGTGGTTCTAAATTAGCCGGCTCAGAGTCCTCTCAGAAATCATTCAAAATGAAGTAGAGGTAAATCTCGAGCAATGATTGCATCCTCGCATCGCCAGGTTCAATCAGGACCTATGCAGAGGTCAGATCGCTTAATCATCTATATCCCCATCCATAGTATCCCTGTTGGTTCCAGTCTCCGCCACGGTGTGAATAAGATTTTCCACCTTTTCCTTGGTCTTTTCCACCCTTCTTTGGCGGGGTCACTGGAGCTTGTTTTGGCGGAGGAGCGGTTTCAACTGTTCTCCATGTCGCTGACGATGATGCTCTCGCCTTCGACACTCTTCCCAGTGCTGGTGCAGCTTTCGGGGCTGCTTTCGATTTGCCAGCGGCTGGATTGGCACGTTCACGATCAGTAGGAGTCGGGGTATCAGCAATCGCAAGTATGTGAGCTTCAGACAAGTGGATGCCCCACCTTGGTCGTTGATCTTCCCGTTGCTTGATGTGATTGTAGTCATCGATCGCATCATATAGCTTTTGGAGCAGAGGTCGCGGCAATTGTCGGCCATTCTGGAGGATCAGGTGTAAAAGTGATATTCTTCGAAGTGGTGGACGAAGAGCACACACAATGTCAACTGGATTCAGTGTGATTGTGTCTTGAAAGTCAACGTTCCTGAAGAAATAAACAGCATTTACCCTATATGCACCTGCAATGATTCTTCTGACCATGACGTCTTGTCGGTCAAGGGCGTCGCGGGCCGCTGTGGTCTTTCTCATCTCATCCATTGTGGTGTCACGTTTCGACAGCTTCTCCATCTCCTCATCGAAGAATATGTTTTGCAAGTCATCATACGTGTAGCCACATTCAAGGGTATATATGAGAAGTCTTTTGAGTACCACTGCCCCATAGTATGCATTGACGAATCCCTCTTCTCCGATGTCGTCCTTTTGATTTGGTCGGCCGATCTCTTTGTAGAGCTCTTTCATCTGTTGTGCAGTTGGTTCAATGAGTTCACCATTTTCATCCTCGCCCAGGTAAGGTGTTCTTGAGTCCAGGTCCATCCTGAATTTCTGGTTCTGTTGAAAATGTTTCCATGCCGTCTCGATGTCTCCACAGAAGTTCCGTTGGAATAGTCTGTAGATCCTGACGATATGTAATCCAATCTGCAACAGGAGGATCTTGATGAATTCTGGCTGAGCATCTCCAATTGTGCAAGGTTCGATCGGCAGGACCTTTGATCCAAACTCAATCCGCTGCATCCACTTGGGGTACTCAATCACTGCATCACGAGCTTCTCCAGCCTCGTACTCTTCAATGTTGATTTCATCGACCGCTATCTCTTCATCATCGTTCTCATCGGTCGGTTTTCCTTCTTGATTGAGAAATTTGTCGACCTCATCTTGTTCTCTGAAGTCTCTTTTCTCATCATTGATGTCGCCCTTCTTCGAGGCTTGATCATCATCTCCTTCTTCTGGTTGAGTTTCTTGTTCTGGACTCTTCATGGTGACATCATCATCATCTGGCATCACCTCGTCGTCATCATCATCACCTGTCAAATCGATCTTCACCTCCTCCCATGCTTTCTTGACATGGTCTTTGAGATCTTCTTCTCGATGATGTGATTCGGCCTTTGGTACTGTAGCCACGGTGATCTTGATTCGTTTCCTCCATCCATGACTCACCAAAAATCCTTTGCACATCACACAAATCGATAATGGCGCAGGGGTCTCCATCAGACATGCGGGGCATAGTCGATGGTCCTCTTTGCTAGGGTGATGAGTGACTGCCAATAATGAAATTGCATCATTCCAATCCGGATGTCCAGGGAACAATCTGTGAGTATGACTGAAGTGACCGGTCCTGATATCGACAAGTTTTCGAAGTTCGTCTAGATCGGGTGATGATTCTTCAGGCACAATGTTTCCAATGAGCTTGTCAAATCGTTCAATGGTGGCCACCCTCTTTGCACCTTGCACAGAAAGAACAAGTTGATCTCTTCCCTTCGTGATCATGAGACGGTAGTAGTCCTTTTCTCTCCAGTCGTAATACCAAACTGCATCGAATGATTCGAATGGAATTGTTTCTTGGACCAAAATGTGTCCGTCTGCTGATAATCGAGGGGAGAACTTGGCGATGGAATCGTACGTGATGTAGATGTAGACAAGATCAGTCTGTTCAATCTTCCTGAATCTCAGCACCATCTGACTTCTCACGTCCCATGGTGCGAATGGCACGAAGAACGTATTGATGCGGTCGCCTCCTCCTCCTGGACGTAGTCCTTCTCTGAAGATTTGAGCGATGTTGTCAAATGTGGTGCAATGAAATCCTCCTCCAAGAGTGTATCCTACTCCAGGGTTCATCTGATATGAAGTCTTCTTGTCTTCAATGTGCACACCGCCTTGAACTCTTGAATGCGCCATAGGGGCACGGATTGCCACCGGCCAAAGCCAAATCTCTCGATCTGCTGCGCCGATCTCCAACCTCAGTGTTTGTCGATCAAGTCTAGAGGTCAATCCATCATTGAAGTTGTTCATAATGTGTTCCAACTCACCTTTCGTGACCTTGAGTCCTAGCACTTGTGCTCGGATTCTCTTCGTTTGCTTGTACTCAGTGAAGATCACTCTCTGGAAATTGTTCCACCTCTCAACAAGTATCGGATAATTGACGTAGGTCGTTCCAGCCAATGTATGTTGGTCTTTCCAAATGGCATCGTACTTCAAGATCGACTCAACATTGACCCAACCTGCCTCGTCGCATGGTAGTCCACGGTGATTTCGATTGTCTTTGACGCAACCCACGGAGTGGCGTAGCGCTGCATTGAATCTTTTCGACAATTCGACTATCCATTGCGGATTTTCCCACTTGTTGCCCATCCACTCATTCTCGCCATATCGATGCACTTTACACCAGCCCATTCCAAGATATTCTTCTCCATTAATGCGAGCAAGTTGAAGTGTACCAATGTTGTGGCCATGTGTAAATGGTTGGATGTACTTGAAGTTCCAGTTGTCTCCACGTTGTTTTCTTTCTTCAATAAGCCATTTTACATAAGCATCATGATCAAGGGGGTTCCAAGCGTTCAGCTCTTCAATGGTCGGCAAAACAGGCGGGGATTCCTCAGCCGCACGCTCAATCAGCAAGTCAAGCTCATGACGATTCTTCACACCTCGGCTAATTGGGTTGACTTCGACACCATTCACTAAGTATTGTCCTCCTTCTTCACGATCACCAATGTCGTACATAAAGGCTGACTGACTGTAGAAGCACTTGGTCACTTCCTCTTTCTCAGTGAATCTGGTTCTTCCCCAACGCTTTCCTCGTGGCATGACGTTCTTTGGGAGCTTGTCTTTTCTGCCTCTGGTTGCAGCTTTGGATCTTTCGGATGATGATGGGGATTTGGACTTCTGATCCATGATCAACCTCATGCGCCATATGGTGTCCTTCATGTTCTCATCATCGGGTGTAGTACATTCGTCAATGCCATGCCTTCCACCACAAATGAAACAATATTGAACATCCAATGCATCTGAAATCAGCTTCTCAAAACGATCACGGATGTCACGCACCTCGGTTCGGCGCTTCTTCGCTTCTGAAGGTTGTCCCCCCATGCCATCTTCCTCCTCCTCAATCTCGATGTCACCAGCTCCGGCATCGGTTTCTCCTGAAGTTTGTTCTGCTCGAGGGCCCCGCGCCGTAGGCGTCGTGGTCTCCTCATCAGGTTCATCAACTTCATCCACCTCTTCATCGCTTGATGAGACCTCAATCATTTCAGGGTGGTCATCGTAGTTGGCTTCTGGGAGCACCGGCATTCTGGTGATCTTCTTCTGCATGAGTAGGTCAAAAATTCCTGCTTCTTTCAAGATTGTAATCACCATGTCATTCTCGACCGGCGGGATGTATGCTTTCCTGGATCGGTTTCGCTTTGTGTTGATGGTGTCGGTAGGTCGACATGAACTGCTGAATAGCCAAAACGACTCTTCCAGTCCTGCGAGGCAACTGTCAAGGTTTGCCCCCCATCCAGCGAACATAGTAGGGAATTGAATACCCAGATCAAGCATTCCAAGCCAGAATTCGAAAATGTCGCCGACATACTCAGCTGTTGCAGTTGGATTGATCATTGATTCGATCTCCTCCTTGGTCAGCACGGTCTTCATGTAGTCATGATAAGCGACGTTTCCACCATCCCAAAGCAGTCTGTAAAACCATCGCATTCGGTGCATTCCGCCTCCGCAATCCTCTGTTCGAGTTTCACGTTGTACAGTGAACTGGGGTAACAGGTCTCGTCTGCATTTCCCTTTCACCATGTAT